CTACTCCAGCCAGTGGACCCTCACCAAGTGCCAGGCGTCCACGCCGGCGCGCACCCTCACCTCGGACTGGCGGACGGTGGGCTCGCAGCACGGCATCACCGTCACCGAGAGCGACAGCTACAGTGCCAGCCTCTCCCAGGACACGGGTACGAGGCGCTGCAGGGTCAGGATGCAATATTAGGGGATGCAATATTAGGGCCCTGCAGTGGGGCAGGGCCCTGTTGCCATCTCTCTGTCCTCGCCAGAGGCTCCTTGGTGGCTCCTGAGCCCCGAGGGGGTGCTGGGGAGGGCTGGCTGCGTGCGCCACAGCTGGGACGCATTCCCCAAAGCAGAGCAGGGCAGGCAGCATCAGCCCCGGAGCAGGCAGGTGCCTGATGCGTCCTCCCTCCGCAGACAAGGGCCGGAACAGCATGGTGTCGACGGAGAGCGCCTCGTCCACCTACGAGGAGCTGGCGCGCGCCTACGAGCACGCCAAGCTGGAGGAGCAGCTGCAGCACGCCAAGTTCGAGATCACCGAGTGCTTCATCTCCGACAGCTCCTCCGACCAGATGACCACGGGCACCACCGACAACGCCGACAGCATGACCTCCATGAGCACCCCCTCGGAGCCCGGCATCTGCCGCTTCACCGCCTCCCCGCCCAAGCCCCAGGACAGCGAGCGGGGCAAGAGCGTGGCCGTGCCCATCCCGCACCGCGCCAGCAAGAGTACGTAGCACATCGGGCACAAGCACAAAGCTACCACCAGGTGGTTCCTGCAAAGGGACGGGGAGAGGAGATGGGGAAGGAATCCTTTTTTTGGATCCTTTTTTCCCTCCCTGCGCAGTAACCAGGTTTTACTGCCGTGGTTTCTGCGTGTTTATTTATACGAAAATCCAAATTCTCCGTATATTGTAGCACGCTCATGTCAGACTCTGTTGGGTTGTGTCAGCCTGTAATTGACATTAATACGCCCTGTCAGCTTCTGGTGCATGCCAGGAGGGTGTAAGAGATTCTGGTAGAACCCAGCAGAACATTCGGAGCTTGAGACAGGACCCAACGGGATATCAGGAGCTGTTAATCCCTCCCTGTATTTTAATCAACTCTGCAAAACTGTTTTATTACAATCTGTCAGACCCCTGAATCTATAGAAATCCTTTAGAATCTGTCAGAATCTCTTGCAGTCTAATAGGTTTTAATAGATCCTGACAGATCCTACTGAGCTTTTAAGTGGCTCTGTCAGATTATGAAACAAATATATTAGATCCTGACAGACCGTGTCCGAACCTCTGGCAACCTAACGGAGTAATAGGTTCTGACTAAGTCTGCTGCACGCTCCCTCTGCCAGATTCCGGGAGATTCTAACGGGGATTTTTCAAAGCTTGCAGCAGATTATCTGAGACGTTAACAGAGCGTAGTGGAATCTGCCAGATCTGATGCTTGATGGCAAATATTTCCTCCTATGTTAAATCTAGCAGAATCTGTCGCGATCGTTCCAAATCTATGCAATCGGGACAGATTCTGCCGGCTTCTACCAGCCCTGGTGAAACGTGGCCGGGTGCTGCAGGTGGCACAGAGGTGACCAGGTGTTTGCCACCACTGGGCTTTGGTTCCAGATGTGGCCAGATGTTTGCAAGCCATACAAACCGCTGCATGGGCAGATCCATGTAGAGCGGTAGCCAGATGTTTCTGGCAGCTGTGCCGCCACCAGATGTGCCCAGATGTTTCCAGAGGCTGCACAGCTGCAGCCAGATGTTTCCCAGCGTAGCCAGAGGTTTCCAAGCTGACCATACACAGTGAAGAAACACAGCCAGGCGGTGACACAGGGGGCTGAGCCACAGCTGCTTGTCCCATGGCTGAACCCACCAAATCTGGCATTTTTCTGTTGGATGAGCTCAACACCTGCCAGGTGGCCGAGGTGGTGGCACAGAGGTGGTGGCACGAGTCCTTGTCTGGGACCTTCCAATACATGGCATTGAAAAATGTGCTATTACCCCGTGATAATTATTGCTGGTCAGTCCCTTTTTTATCACCACCCTGCCTGTAGTGAAACCCGCCAGGCGCAGTGCCCCAGCCATAGCACAGCGCGCACCCGTGCTGTCACCACGGCACGGCCCCAGCGCTTCAGCAGCCTCAGTTCTGTCCCTGCTCAGGACCTCGCCCTCACCCCCCTCTCCTCTTGCAGGCGACTACTGCAACCTCCCGCTCTACGTCAAGTCGGAGGCCTTCTTCCGCAAGCCCGACGCCCACGAGCCGTGCCCGGTGGTGCCTCCCCGCGAAGCCTCCATCCGCAACCTGGCGCGGGGCTACCACCCGCCCTGCCCGGCATCTGACGCTGGAGCCCGGCACCAAGCCCCCGGGGCTGCCGCCCCCCACCTCCGCCACCACCTTACCTCAGAGGACTCTCCCCATGCCCACCTCGGCCGGGGCCACCGCTGCGCCCACCGCCGCCGCTGCACCCGCCGCCACCGCCGCCGAGCCCCCCGCGGCCGCCGCCGCCGCCCCCGCCGAGCCGCGCGCACCCACGCACTCCAAAGTGGGGGGCTCGCGGGACTCGCTGCTAGAAATGAGCACGTCGGGCGTGGGCAGGTCTCAGAAACAGGGGGCTGGCGCCTACTCCAAGTCCTACACGCTGGTGTAGGGCCGCGCGGGCACCGCCACGGACTCAGCTCCTCCCCGGCGCTATTTCTATTTAAGTCACGGACTTGTACATAAGGAACTCTTTTGTATAAATGAAACTATTTTCTTCTTCTCCAAACAGAAAAAGAAACCAGGGCACAAAGAATTTGATGTTACAGATTAAGAAAAAAATATAATATATATGTAAACATATATATATATTTCACATCATTTTGAAAGGGGCACAAGGAAAGACTCAGCGACTTTTTTTCCCTGATCTCGTCGGTGGTTTTGACAAAGGAACGTCTCAAAGACATTGCATGCTATTTTACTGTTCTGAAAACAGCAGGAGTTGCTTCAATTTGCAAATGCTTATGTGTTAATACCTTTTTCTATGAAAAAAAAACCAGCGCTGTGTGCAATAAAGGTTATGTTTATATGTGGGTGTTTCTTAAGTGGCCGGAGGAGCGCTTGGTGGCACAGGGCTAGGGACAGGACAGCACGGGAGGGAAGGGGACAGCAAGCAGCCCGGGTGCCATGGAGCCAGGGAAGGGCTGGGAGCAGGGTGCCGGGCTGGTGCCCCGCAGCAGGGCACCCCAGCACCGGCGAGGAGCCACAGGCCAACTCGGCACAGAGCAGCGAGCCACCAGCAGCTCCCCTGGATGGTGGCACAGCACACACGTGGATGCAGCACACCGCGGTGAGCCCATCGCAGCACAGCGAGGCAAGAAGCAAAGCCAAGAGCCCCTCGTGCAGCATCAACGTGTGGCAGAGCGCAGCACTGCGCCAGGTTGGGGCGCGTGGCAGCACAACCTAGCACGATCCTGCCCGGCTCCCTCGAGGCCACAGCTCGTGGGGACGTGGAGGACAGTGCCCCACAGCCTGGCTGCACCAGCTTGGAGTGGCCGAGCACAGCACAGCACCGCACCCTGCCCCAGCACCTGCAAGGATGAGAGCAGCCGGAGCCGAGGCAAGGAGCACATCAGCACCACCGCCCGCCGGGCTGGCAGCCTCCCCGTGCCCAAGAGGGCAAAAACAGCAGCAGACTGATCAATGGGCTTCCCCAGACCAGAACCTCGCCATCCTGGGGAGGTTCTGCTGCTATTTTAAGGCTAATCAGCTGCCTGCCTTTGTTTCCTCGGTGCCTCTGATTTATCTGCCGGTACTTTAACCAACTGTGCGCTTTTCCATGCTTGTTCCGCTCTGGTCCCGTTTCTCATTTCTTCCTTACAGCGAACAGGAACCTGGTTCCACCTTAACTCACCTTTTTCTCTTTCACCCTCCCTTTAAAAAAAAAAAAAAAACAAACAACAAAACAAAACACAAAACCACTTGATTATAACTGGTAAACACCGCTTCTTTCAAGCGCTACGGATTTAACTTTGTACCTCCACTAGACTTTGATTTTAAGTGAGCGCAGACCTGTGCTGTGTGACCGGCCTTGCTGCTGCCGTGAGGCTTCCATCTCAGCTCCCAGCTTGCAGTCCCAGCCCCTGCTGGTGTCGCTGCACTGCTCAGCAGCCCCTGCCGTGCCCCTTGCTTGTCAGAGTCAAACAACTCCTTAAACCCAGGGAAGCTGAAACTTGGCAGGAACCGGGCAGCTGCTTCCTCTTGGGGGGCCCAGAAAATGAGCTGTTAGGACCAGTTCTTGTGCCCATTCTCAGCGGTTTTGGTGCTCATTCCGGTAACACTCCATGCACGAAATGGGGATAGGAGCCTTCTGCAGAACCTCTTTTATTTTTTAATATTAATCCCAAGATCTGTTGTGAATAGGATTTACTTCTATACATTCTTATTCATTCAATTTTAACAGGTTTTTGGAGACAGAAAAAAAAAAAAGGCAATTTTCCAAGTTAGCATGCAAGGAGGGCATGGATTTTGGCCAACGTTTGTACACACAACGTGAGCAGGGCAATTTAATGCTGCAGATCATGTTATGCAGCTCTGACATGGTCTCTTAGGACCTCAAAGAGTTTATTTGGCTTGCTGCAAGGTGTCATCAAGGGACAGTCCCAGGGAGCCAGAGGCTGGCAGACGTGCAGCGAGCACTCGGCCTTTCCTTCGTCTGCAGGTTCCCAAAAAGCACCCAGCTGCACCTCCACCTGAGGGGTCTGACAGCCCTGCCCCTCCTGGCTCTGCCCACCATCGGGGGAAGTGCTGACAAGCAAACCAGCACATTTCTAAGGCTGCAAGAGTAGTTCAAGTGCACGTTCAACTTCCAACCCCTCTCCTGGTGCAGACTTCACGTGGAGCCAAGCCTTCCCCCCCATCCCAAAGCCGCGTTACAGCGAGGCAACCAAGCAGCACCTCTGCAACGCCAATCCCAGACTTTAAATAGAAGAGGCAAGAAAAGGCAAGTGTGCTCTCAGCTGTGAGAGTAAGTGGATTAGCAAGATAAAAAGAACAACAGATTAACATGTCTTTATTGTAATCGGCTAGCACAGATTTTCCTCTACATCTTCACAAGAATTCTCCCCTTCACCTTCCCCAGCAGTTACAGACCGTGGCTTTGTGTTGCTCATTACCAGAACCCGAACTCCCTGCAGGTGACCAGCACGACCCCCCCAGCACGCCCCCTGCTCCCCGTGAACCCGCTGCGCTTTGCTCTCCCCTGGGACGCACCAAAGCTGGGCACAGCACTGAGCCAGGCGCTGGGGAACAGAGCTGCTTCGAGCCGTGCTCGCCAAACCTTGCCTTCAGCAGGAGACGGGCAGCCAACCCTTCCCTCTGAGCACCTCCTGCGTGTGCCGCAGCACATTCGGTGTCCTCACCAACCCCCCAAACAACCCCTGGTGGCCCAGTCCTGCTCCTCCTATCTCTGTTTTTATTTTTCCCTCTTTCTCGAGAGCTCTGCACACTAGGAAAGCCAGTACTCAAAAATAGCTGCTAAAAAACAGTCTCCCTCTCATTCCAAAGCCAGGACACCCAGTGCTGCCCGAGAAAAGCAAAAATCAGCTCACACCCAGCACGTGGCACACCTCCTGCTCCCCTTACCTGGTGGCACCCCATTCCCAGCCAGCTCGTAGGCACCGTGTTGGGTCAGGGAAGAAAGCTGATGTTCCAACCCCAGCTCCAGCTGCAAAGTGGAGCTGTTGTGAGCACAACGAGCCCCAGCTGGGCAGCTGGCTGGGCACAACAGCCCTCAGCTGTGCAGCCCCAGGGCCTGCCACCACGCAGCTGGGGGTGCTGCCACCAGGGAAAGGACAAGTGCCAGAGCTGCTGGGTGCTGAGGTCCCAGCCAACAGCCCCTTGCTGGTGGTCCCTGGCCACGGGGCAGTGCTATTTGGGGAAGGAAGGAGCCACCAGGACCCCACCGACCCGCAGCCAACAACAGAGCACCTACAGCTGTGCATGCACCAAGAGCTACCTAGTGGGTTCACGGGCACCACGGGCACAAATCTGGCTGGGGAACACAACAGACAAGAGGAGGGATGATGCAGGGCGTGGGCAAGGCAGCTACTTCTTCTCCTGCTTTTGCTGCTGGTACCTCCTGAAGTGGGTCTGGATGGTGACGGCCGCCTTCTCGGAAGGGTCGCTGAAGAACCTGCCCTCGCTGCTGGCGTCAGGGGTGACGTTGCCTGGGATGAGAACCGAGTGTCAGGGTGAGCTCAGGCAGGTGCTGGTGGCCCCGAACACCTCCTGCTCCCACCAACAGAGCCCTGCCCTGGCTTCCAGAGGCAGCACGAAACCACGACTCCGCCAGCTCCCGGAGAGCAGAGGGAGATGGAGCGGGGAAGCAAAGCCCAGCCTCCCTGGCAGCACTAAGCCCTCTATTTACACAGCTTTACTCCCCAAAGACCTCAGCTTCCCCACGTTTAATCACCACGTATGATACTCACTTACTTTCACACGCACAAATAAGATTAGAAAAAAAGCCCGGCACTGTACGGCAATAAAGCTCTCACGCTGATAAATGGGAGCCCTCCCCACTCCATGCTTAATGTGGCATTAGGGAAGTATTGTGAAATTCAACAGGAACTGAATCAAAGCCACTCAGCAGTGCTCTTTTAACCAAGTGTGTCACCGCTAAGCACCCCCCGAGCAGCGATCAGAAATCCTGATGCCAGATGCTGCTGTATAAACTCACCAATGTCACCTGAACCCATTTTTATTCACATCCTAAAAGAAATTGCAAAGTAAAAAGATACATAAAAAAAAGTCCACATTGGGAATCAGCTCCCTCCTGCCCGGCTTAACAAGGCGCATTGTCAGCCGTAAATCCTGCCCGCTGCAAAAATCAAATGCCAGAGGCTGGGGAGCCGCTGGGGGCATTTACTGCTCTGTGTTTCCAGAAACAAGCCCCCAGCTGTGCAGGCTGCTGACAGCTCCGTGAGAAATGCACTGTGAAGGAGCTCGGCAGGGCTCAGCACCGGCAGGGCCCATCAATAAGACCCCAGCGCCCAGCCCAGAAAGCCCCATGGGACCTTCCCCTCCTTGTGGGGCAGCAAAAACCCCCGGAGCATTGGGCAGGACCCTCAGGGCTGCTGGTTAACTGCGAAGGAGAGAGCCCCACGAGGTCTCCGGCTGCTCAGCACCCTGCCTGCAGCACCCATGCCCAGCCCGGTGCTGCCAGGCGTCGCGGCCCTTATCCGATTACTGGCCGAGTCGCTCTGAGAATAGAAGGGGACAAATCCTATTTGCCAAGCACTTGACTTCAGCAGAGCTGTCAGGCTTAGGAAGAAGAGCAGAGAGGAGGGCAAGGGACGAGCTCAGGGTGTTTTTGCCGGGCCGAGAAGTGCTCAGGCACCCTCCTGGGGGTGTCCTCGGGGACGGGAACTGGCTGAAAGTACAGCCCTGCCAGCGAGCCAGAGGTGCAGCCATGGGAAGGGAAGGGAAGGAAAAAATAAATAAAGGGGGTAGGGGGAAGGGAGGTGACTTCCCTCACACAAAGCTGACTTCCCAAATACCTCCTAATAATGTCACGGGGACGGATCTGCTGGAAAAAGGGCCTAGGTACTGCAGTGCCTGTTGTGCCATGACCCCCAGTCTCACCCAGTTTCCCCCTCTGCTTAGCCATGCCTGCCTCCCCGCCTGCCCCACACTCACCTTTCTCTCCAGAAATCGAGTAGATGCTGTTCTGACGAGAGCTCCTGCCTTTCTGCAAAGGTAGAGGACAGAAACAGTCAGCTCCATCTCCAGGCAGAGGCAGGGAGCAGCCCCTGCCAGGCCAGCTGCGAGGGACAGGGCGAGCTCCACTGGGCTTTCTGCTACCCATTCCCCTTGGGAACCTTGAAAATACTTACTGTTGTTCCCTTAACGAGCATTACAGAGCTCTGATTAATTAATTTGCATTTGTAAGAAGTCCTCCAAGGAGAATCAGCGAAGAGCTTTGTATCAAAAACCAGATTTGTGACAACTGCTGGCAGGATCTCTTTAACCATGCTCTGGATGGCCAGCAGACGAGCCCTCTCTCCCGACCACCCGAGGAGGGGAGCCGAGGCAGGCAGCACTCACCTCGCTGTCCCGGCTGGTGCGGCGGCTCTGCGTCACGCACTGGATCTGCCAGGGCAGGGGCTGGTACACCAGGTAGGGCAGGGGCTCCTCACGGAACAGGCTGGTCCCGAGCTGCGTGGAGAAAGGGTTTGCAGCAGGACGGGGGAGAAGCTGATGGGCAGCTCCGAGAGCTGCAGTTAAACACCACCAAGAGCTGCTCCTGCGTATGCATCACCAGGATCACAGCTCATGGCACAGCCCGAGCCGTGCTGCAGGGAGCCACGGCTCACAGATGTAGCTGAGCCTGGATTCTGCACTGCCCACGAAGTAACACACCCCTAGAAATAAGACTGAAAGCACCGAATCCTACCTGCTGCCTGGCCAGCCCGGACTCACCTGCCCAAATGCTCTCACCACAAAAAACAGCGCTGTCATCAGGGACGCCAGCATGGCTGGGGGCTCCGAGGGGCTCCCACCGTCCTGGGAGGGCTGAGCTCCGGGAGGGATGCCCAGCGGGCTGAGCAGCCGGCGACTGAAACGTCCCCTTCTGCAGCAGGCAGGCTCCAAGCCCCTTAATGAGCTTAGGGCTCGTGTTCATCCCGGCAGAGTAATCACCCGCTGTCCTTTTGCTCTTCTAATCGCTGAATTTCTCCGGCATGTATGGTGCTGGCATTCCAGGAAAAGCAAATCCTCTTCTTCCCCTAGGTACCTACAGGCCAGCACACCCCCACCCCAACACAGCCCCCACACCTCAGAGCCACGGCACGCAGCAAAACTCCGCTGCTTGGCCTGCTTCTCAGCAGGATCACAGCAAACCCTCCCGCACCCAGAAGGTATCTATTTCAGGTGGGATTTGGGGGTTTCTCAGGGCTGTCCTGTGCTCTCTGCACAGTCACTGCTTCAGGAGTGGGGTGGAAGACCAAGAGACTCAGCCGCTCCTGGAGAAACCCAAAGCACCTGGAGAAACCGAAATGCTGGGCTCGGTTTCTGCACGGCCAGCAGATCCTCACACTGTTCCTCCTGTGCCTGCTGTCCCTCAGCTCCAGCAGCCCTCCTCTGCCCAGCATGGACAGCAGCATCCACCCCAGCCCCGCCGTGTGCCCCACGCAGCCTCAGACCATGTTTGTGGTGACAATCTCTCTCCTCATTTCTGCCACTGCCCGTGTTACACGCCTGCAGCCTCTCAGCACAGGAGAGCCCCCGGGCAGGGCACGGAGGCAGCCGTCACTGCAGTGCTGAGACCAGGCGAGCTGAGCCTTTAACCAGACCATTTCAAATAAAGCCCCAAAAGAGCCAATGTGCACAGCTGGCAGGGCTGGCTAGGGGCGTGCCGGGGCTGCTGGAAGGAAAGAAGCAGGGGAAGGAATAAGTGATGGGGAGAGAAAAGCAGGGAGAGCCCCTCTGCCCGCTGTCCTCCAGCCCCAGCTGAGCTGGCCTTGGTCCCCTCCGGCACAGCGCCCGCCTCGCAGCCTTGACACGAAGCTCAGGAGGGAGATAACCATCGTAACGGGGCTGGATGACGGCTGTATGAAAAGGGCAGGATACAAGCCCATGAAAAGCTGTCCTGCTGGCTGAAAGCCCCATGAAGAATTGCTTTTGTAGTTTTGTTTTTAGCTTTCTATCTGCCCCTGCATTTGCTACCGTGGCCAGACACTTAATAGAATAATGGTAATAAAGCTACAGCGAGCTGAAGTGGTCTTGAAAAATTGCCAGAAATGACCTTGACAAGACAAAACATGAAGCAGCCTGGAGACAAGTGAGGGGAAGATGTGAAAGGTAAGTACCAGCTGGCTATCGAGGGCTACGACAGCACAGCTCGACAAGGAAAAAATAAAGCTACAAATGTCACCATCATACAAAACAGACTCACGTTGATTTAATTTGCTTACAAAACCAGATACAGCTATCGCAAGTTTCAACAGGAAAGATAAACGTGTTTCAGAACATATTATTGCTAAGGAAGCAGGCATTTCTCCACACTCATCCCCGCTGCTCAGGACACAGGCTGGGCTCAGCTACGTGGCTTTGCGGACAGTGTCCAGCAGGCTGACAGCCTGCCCGTGCTGCAGGAAGCCAGCACGGTGGGGTTATTGCAAAACCAACTGGAGCTACTGCCAGGAGTCCCTCCGAGAGCTGGGAAACTAAAAGCAACATCCCTGCAGACAGGGATTGGTGTAAACCCCACAGCAGACAGGAAATCTGCGTTTTGATCCATCCCTTCCTAGGGAGGAGGGATTCCCCCAGCCAGCTGCCGTTCCCTGTGGTCACCTGAGGTCTCCCCATTCATCCAGGGCCAGAACGAGCTTGCTGGGATTCCTTCAGCAAGGACATCGGTGTGATGGGGCCTGCACGAGGACCACCCCTGCTTTGTTAGAGGACCCATGAGGAGGTCTGAAGCCTCTGCTCAGACCCACAAACGGGAGCCTGGCCAGAAGATCCCCAGACAAAGGTGGGAGGAGGAATTCAGAAAACTTAGAGTCCAGCAAAAAAAAGAAAAAAAAAATAAGGAAACACAGACATTCTTCTCGAGTTTTAAAATGTTCATCAAAAATATATTTCTATTTGCATGTAAACATTCCCCTGCCACACTCACAGCATGAACTGTTCCAATGTTGTGCCAGTATACAACAACCAGGAAGCAAAGCAGGAGGGGGAGTTCTGCCTCACTTTGCTGCGCATCATTAGCCACACTGAGAAACACAAACAGCACTGAAGGGTGAAGAACAGCAACTTTACCATCCTCCCTGCATCAGCTGTCTCTAGAGAGAACGACTTTGAAGATGATTTCTCACAGATGGGATCCCTTGAAATGCAGACTTCCTCATCAGACAAAATGGCAAATGGTACAGCGTTTTTTAAAGCATTAAATATTTAAAGTCAGCTTGGAGGAAAGGCTGACAAAACAACCAAATACCACTTTTCCCACTTAGCAGTATGAAAGCCGAGTCTGACTTCTCCCCGACCGGCTCGAGCACCACCTGCCCCCTCGCAGCTCTGTGTTCCAGCAGGGTGCTGCCGTGCCCTGCACCAAGCCCCTCCAGCACCACAGGTAGTGCACCCACTGAGCAGAGCGGTGTGCCTCCTCCTCGTATCTGAGAGCAACGCATCCCAGCCCCTCAGCCTTGCTCCCAGCCGTGGCCTCAGGAGTCTGCTCTCCCCACAGCCCAGCAGAGCTGCTCCAGGTCCCAGGCTGGGCACCAAGGCTCAGGTTTGCCTGCACAGCCCTGCTGCGTGTGAGCAGACCCCAGCTGCTGAGCTCCGGATCCCTCTCCCCAGGGTAGGGAAGGCCGCAGGTGGGGCTTTATCTCCTCTGAACATTCACACCAGGCTGAGAGCCCTAACAGCGCCTGCACCAGCAGGAACTGCTCCGTGCTCTCTTGCCATCCCTGCTCTGCGTTGCCATCAGCACATTTGTAATACATGAGACGAGCTCCCACAGCACAGCCATGCTGTGCAGTTCTGGCCAGCCTGGCAGAAAAAGGAGGAAGCAGGGAGCTCTTTTCTAGAAAATCTGCCATGAAAGCCATCCTTGGTTTTGTTCCTACTGCTTCCGCCCCACAAGACAGGAACATTTTGCAGGGAGTTACAATCTACTGTTCCCAGTTACATCCCCAGACTCGACCCATTTTGCTGTTCATTCTCCCCTCTTTGTGCACTTGCCACAAAAGCCAGATGACTTGGCTCACCTGCAATTAAGCATGTGTGGGGCATCAGCGTGGGCTCATTTCCTGACACATTTCCTCCAGCAAAGTCTCAGACAGATCCGCCTCCTCCCCCTTGACCAGTTACTCAAAGTCCTCCATGATTCACAGCTCTGCTTCATGATTGCTAGAATACTAATGAGAGAACTGTTGATTTATTGAAGCCCTGATATTTCACCACTGGATTAAACAGTCTATAAAGTATATTTGGACACATTACAGGATTAGAAGAATCCACCTGGGAAGTTCACTTCCTCCTTCCTCCACTCTCTTGTAAAGAGACTTTATTTCAAGGGCAGAGCGCAAAGAACAGCGTTGGCTGGGTATGACCAAACCCCAACAAATTGTTAGGGGGACTACGCAGGCCCCAGCTACCACCTCTCCAGGTCCTGAAAACACCAAGTCCCACCTTTCAGTAATGGTACACTTTTATTTGTCTGTTTTCATCCAGTCCTAGCTGAAGTAGGCTGGGGCTGCTGGCAGGAGGCTTCTGTGCACCTGGGAAGAGAGGTCTGGCAGCTGGGTGAAGGAAAAGCATGGCTTACACAAGGGATTAGCATGCATGAGCCAGGAGGCAGGACAGGTACTGAGGGACAGGAACCAGCCCCACGCACACGTGCTGTCTTTAGCCTGCTGCATCCAAGTCAAATGGAATTAAAGAGGGATTACAGAATTCAAAGGAGCACTGTGCTCAGGACAGCGTGCGCTATCAGAGGCCCTGAGGGATTTGCTGCTAATATCAGTGTACACTGCAAAGGAGATACTTTCAGCCCCAGCGTAATGCTGTTACAACACAAACCTGGAAACACTCCCAATAACAGCACTGCGAGGTTCCGCTCGTTTGATCCCACCATATGCAGCTGGATGCCTCCGAAAACTGAGCTGGACAGGCTGAGCCCGGAGCCTCCCTGCACAGCCATGTGGCCACCCCACATGTCAGGTCCATGCAACTCCTGGCGAGCCTCAGCTCAGGCACCGCCACCTCTCCAAGGTGCTGCACCACGCACGGAGCTGCCTCATGGCTCCCTCATTGCAAGCTGCCTGCAGCAAACCCACTGATGCTGGCTGGGATCATCCCACCAGCAGCAGCACCATGCCCTGCCTCCTCCTCCATTCTGCACTTTGTTTTATTATTTATTTTTAAAATTCTCACGTTACCAGCTCCAGCTGCTGTGTATCACAGAACAACTGGGGGCAGGGGGAGAGAGACTCTCCGTCAGGTACAGCTCGAAGATGGAAAAAACAGGTCACTCGTGCTGCAACTACTAAACAACATTCTTTTGCAGAACTGGACACTAAAATAGAGGCTAAGGCTTTGAAATTGCTGTTCAATGCTTTAGAGCTCCTGATTCACTCACCTCCTGCTGTTGCCTCCTACCTGCTGCAGGAAGCTGGAGTGCAATTAGAGACCAAACTCAGGCAAAGGATACACCTTTGAATCCCTCTTGAAGTCTTCTAGCCATTTCTTGTTGGTCTCAATCATTCCTTGAATACTCATCTTGTCTGAGTCACGGCTCTGGAACTGGGAGTGCTGGAACTGGCGAATTTGCTCGCTGTTGTCAGAGAGAGAAAGACGGTGGAAATGGGAAAGATGCCTAGACAGAAACAATCCTAGAGTTGAGAAAAAGTGAAGAACCTCTACAAAAAGAGCCACAGTAAGCAAGAAGTAGATTCTTGTTGGCTCCAAATCTTCTGCCCAAACACATTATGGAGAAGACCTGAAGCAGCCACCCACTTTGATCTGTGTAGCATCTGAAAGGCTCAGGCGGTAGCCTCCAGGATCACCTGTCACACCAAAGCCAGCCTGAGTTCCACTTGGCCCATTGCTGGCACACTTGGATCCTCCTCCTTTAACTAGGGTTAGCAGCACAACTCTGGCTTCTGCAGGAAAGCTGCTGATACAAGGCAGTGCTGAGCACGTGGCAGTGAATTGCTAACACTACCTAACTTATCTGCCTAACAGCCAGCTTATATCATATAGCGAGTAGGTAAGAACAAAATCATATCTGATCTATAAGTTATTCCAGAGAAACAAATGCAGCACAATGAAACAAGAACACTCGAGGAAAAAGACCCTTACTCTGCAGGTACGTATCCCAGCTTGTTGTCCAGAGTACCGGAACTTCCACTGAGTGATGGGAACCCACCTGGAAAAACAGATATTAGAACAGGTCCCCCTGATCCGAATCAACAGTCTTTAAGTCTGGGTGCATGTGCTTTCTTGTGTTACGGACACACTATCCCTACAAGCTGAGCCAAGAGCACAGTGGTGGTAAGGAAACTGAGATGGTGAACCTATCCCCAGTCCACAGGACGCTTCTAGTGGAGCAGCTCTGACTTCTCTTTTGCCCACTTCTCTAATAACTTTTTTTCTGAGTACATCAGAGCAACATCCTGCTCTGGAGGCAGAATAACATGGTCAGCCATATGTTGCACTGGAATGTTCTCATTCTTGATCTCATTAGCACTCTTCCTAAGAGCACCACCAGCTGACCTGGCCTTATCAGCACTGGCACAATGAGCTGATTAGAATTTGCAGCACTGAAATCAAAAGTTGTAAGCAAACATGTAGATGGATTAAGATTGCAAGACCTACCTGGGAAATACTTGTGCCACTTTTCTGCCAGGATGCTGTCCACTGTCTGCCCAGCTGTGACAGAGCGACTGGAGCTCAGCCCAGTGCTCCGGACCCACTGGTCCACCAGAGACACCCCAGCGGGGGGCACCAAGGAGCCACCTGCCTGAAGTCCTGCCAAGGATGCATAGGTAGAAAGAGGGACACCATTGGAGGGCACCTGTGTCGAAGTGAAGAGTGGAGACCGGTGGTTGTTCAGAGAGCTCAAAACGCCAAGGACCCCATTCAGTTCTCTGGTGATAAGCTGCAGAGAGTCTGTCAGGTATTGGATCTTGTCCAGCTGCGGGCCAACCTGTTGTTCCGTTCTCAAGTCAACTAGCAGAAGACAGAAAGAATAAAGGGATCAGTGGGAAGGTGAGGGAGATGCTGCCTGCCTGGCAGGAGGCTCACTTTCTGCAGTGTTTCACTGAGTTTGATCAGTCTCTTTATTCTCAAATGAGCACAAGTGAGAAAAGCATCAGATACATCAGAGAGACAAGAGGGCAAGGCAGACACTGTTTAAAGCTTTATACACTGGGTACAGCGTAGCAAACCAGTCAGGCACTTACATTTAGGCTGACCTAAGCTTGCACTGGACATGCTGTTTGTGTCCTCAGAGTTGCTGACATCAAAAGTCACCATCTTCTTGCACGCAGTACTCTTCAGTGTATCTTCATCTGAAAGCTGATCAGAAGAAGGAAAACGTTACAAATAAAACCTGTTGTTCTGTCCCTGAACAGCAAAGCCATTGGAATACTGCCTACAGCTCATCTACACAGGCTGGACTGCACAGTCAGGCACAGACCACGTGAAGGTAGAAATATTCATCTTCGGTCTCCAACAGCAAAATATAAAAGAAAAAAGACCACCTGGTCTCTGGAAGAAGCTGTGCGTGCACTGGAGGCCAAATTTAACAGTTGTGTGAACTGGCCCTTCTAGGCAGAAGTCAAAGTGTTTTGTGCAATAAATAGGCCTTATAATTCTTGCATGGCTGGGTTCTCTCTTTGCACCAACAAGTGCTTGACCATCTGAAGCAAGGTGCACTCACATTTCATGCTGCCCTAAGGCTACATGGTCACCGGCACAGCTGGGCAGATTCTAAGGCTTGCATTGAACAGGAAAGCAGACTAGATCCTAGCTCGCATGAGGTGACCTGCCCTTGTTTTCTCTAGGCAGAACTGATGCAGATTTTTCAGGTTGCTTTCTGTATCTACTCTGCAGTCAGCCACTTAACAGTGAGTCCAGATGTCATCAGCAGAGGGAAATATTTGCCACCTTGCGCAAGACACAAACAGCTAATAAAATATATAACAATTCTAATGCAAGAGTTCAGTTTATATTACAGGACACTTCAGCATATTGGTGTTAGCATCCATTTGTTTCTGGCCTAAGAAGATCAAAGGCTCATTCAGCAGGTTTTCTCCAACCAACTTGATCCCTGATGCCTGCCTGGCAAGCTGCCATCAGCCAGAAACTCACCATCCCAAGCCTCAGCCTACGTTTGTTCAGTTGACTGCAGACCTAGTGAATCATGTGAATTATAGCCTAACCAGGTTTGTCATTCTCTTCGGCTCCGTGACCAGCCTATTCTCTCCTGCAGTTCTCAGACACTCAGTTCTGCTCTCAAAGAACGTGTTTCTAATAATCCAGCTTCCCTTGCAAACACCAGTCTTCTGCCACCAGCTAAATAGCCCCCATTTGTACCAAAAGCTCTACAGAGACTCCAGCACAGGGGAGGAGGTCAAGAGCTCTGGGAACTGTGGGAGTGCAGCTGGGCAGGTCCACGCAGGATGCTGGTGCTTACCTCCTCCAACAGCGATGACTCCAGCTGGCTTAGTTTCTCTTCCTTCTTCTTCAGCAGCACCTGTCCTTTCCGCATAACTGACTTCATCTTGTCCAGCTGCTTTGCTTCCTGCAGGGGATCAAACAGCCAAGCCAAGGAGGAAAATCTGCTTTAGTTGTCACGATGACTTTCACTGTCTCGCTTCTGCTCAGCACAGGAAATCATGCTGCTGGAATAAAACTGCTTCCAAGTCTTCCAGAGCATAGGGAAAGGCAGTATACAGAGAGGAGAGCACATGCCTCAGGCAAGTTCACCCCAAGGAAAAGGAGGTTTCACTTCCTAATGCTGCATCCAGCAGGGTCAACAGCTTTGCAGCTATAGTCTGCAGGTAGGAGTGCTCCGTCAGCAAAAGAAATTATTTTTTCCCTGTCTTTAGTTGGTATATCAGCAGAACTGACAAGTACTCTGGAATCCCTTTTCATGCAATAGTTAAACCACTGCAGAGCTACAGCTGCAAACTCGTACTTAGTGCTGGGATGGATACCTGCCAGCCCCCAGTGACTCACCTCTTCCAGGTTCTTGCGCACTCCCTCCAGAAGCTGGGAGCTGTCACGATCCTGCACCACCTCCTGTGCTTCCTGCATATCTTGGTGCCACCGCTGCCTGGCAGCTTTCAGCGCCGTGTGCCTCTTCCTCATGGAGCGGGTCTGGCGTACCAGGAATTCCTTGGCAGTTCCTAATGGAGATCCCTTCAGGCAGAGATGTAGCTTCTGACACTACAAGAAAGAGACAGGTATGCTCCTGGCTTCCTGTGCTGTCTGCTCCATCTGGCAAGCCTCATGCAGCTCCCTCCCCAAAAATAGACTGTCTGCGTAAAGCACGTAAGCTGAAGCAAAAACATTTGCTTGTGAAACCCAACTGAAAGAAAAAAACAAACCCATTTTCTGAAGTAGCAGGTATACAGATACTCACTGATCAAACTGCAAGTTGCTGTCCTCATGGCTTTGAGAAGGTGGGGAGGCAGGCTCTTTGGATGAGTGCTGAGGAGTTGAAACATTTCAAAAGCTAATAAACATGTATGAGAAAACAGAATCCTAGGGCTCCCCTTAGAATCAAATTAAGGGCAAAAATTCTGGATGAAACCACCATGCTACCACCCTGATCCAAGATCAGTTCTGGAGATATCCTTTATGTGATACTTTAAAATAAGGAATAAAGACATTTCTGTCCCTGACTCAAGTCCTGCTTTTGACTCCAAGGACACTCAGGTATCCATCCCACACTCCTTTCCCCTAATATACAGAAAGTAACAAAAAGCAACAAACAAAACACTGATCTTTCACGGTAAAGAAAAATGCATCATTGCATCTCAAATGAATTCAGGCAGAAAGAACCAAAGTTAGGATTTTCTAGGAGTTACAGCTTCAAGTCTCACAAGGCAAATGACTCTGCAGCCAGCTTTACTCACAGCTTGAACTGTTTCTCTCAGGTCTTCAACATGGAGCTCAGCTTTCCTTCTTGGAGACTCCACGCTTTCTTCTACCTCCAGTTCTTTCAAAATCTCCTGCTTGCTCCTGACAGCTGCCTCAAGCTCACTGTCACATGAAAAGGTAACAACGGCAGCAGCTGGTTAGACTGTGGGTCCATCTAGCCAGTAATCTACCTGCGAGTGTCCAGAGCAACCTCCAGTTTCCAGGAAGGAAAGGACCAGATGTGCAAGACAAGCGGGAACACAAACACACTGATGACAAGGACTCATAGCAGCTTACAGCAGCTGTGTCTCATACAGCTTCCCCCACGCAGGAACAGACACAAATAAGAGACTTCACACTCTGGCAGCTGGCAGACACTGACTACTACATCCAGGGCTGGGGTACATCAGACAGTGGTGGCTGTCGAGCTGAATACCCAGTAAGACAAGCTTCTACTGCCCCTGGCTGCTAACCACAGCTGAACTGTTCATGCAGCACCTCCAGACAACACTGGTATCGGGTAGAATTTGTACACTGAAGGAAATTTCTCACACACACACACCTGATACGTTTCTGCAGCCTTTGGCTTCGGGTCTGCAACAAATCCACCTGGGCCTCCAGCTCAGACTTCTGGTCTTGGAGCTCTTCAAGAGACTTACGCAGTTGCCGGATGGACTCAAGAAGGTTGGTGTGCTCCTTCCGACTCTCCTCTAGGCGGAGTTGAGAAGCTAAAGCAGCTTCCTAGGAGCAAACAGAAAATCCCTCAGACTTCCCTGACTACGAGTGAAAGCGCAGAGTGTGCAAGAGCCTTTTGCTATCTGCACAGTTCACAGGAGATCCCAGAGCTACAGACGCACAGACCACGTGCCCTCCTAGGGGAGCAAGGCTGTCTTCTCTTTTTGAGAAATAGCTGCAAGCTAATCAAACTCCCAGCAGGATGGCACTCCAGGCTGAGGCAAGGTGGCAGGGAGGGATCTGCAGACTCACAATTAAGGAGCAACATAGCTTGCTTTTACAAAGCCATGGTTCTAGCATGCCCGCTCTACCCTCCCCAGAATAAAAGCAGCACAGCTCCTCTCCAGAGCTAAGACATACATCTCTTTCTAGCTCAGTCCGTCTGTCTTCATCCAGCAGCTGCTGCCTTTTCTTCCTCAGAGATTCCTCCTAGATATGGTAGACAGCACAAGTGTCAGAGCATGGGGATGGCAGTAGAGGAGACTGCTGATGCTCAGCAGTTTCAAGACTGTTTCAAAATACCTGAGCATTGTTCTGAGCTTTGCTTTATCCCATCCCCATCCCATTTCCTTCCCTTTAAATTCAACAACAGAAATACTCGTAGGAATATTTTATTATATTTTCTAGGAAAAATTGTATTCCTGTGGAAAGAAGATCCCGTTTCTGTTCAGCTGTGAGAGCATTCAAGGCATGGAGCCATTCCTGCAAGCACCTCACTTTGAGAAGTTTATGGTTGCAACCAGCATTTCTCTACCTTTTCCCCTCCCCACTCCAGTGCTCCTTGGAAAGGAAGGGCTAACAGAAGCAAGCCATTGCAGCAAGATGGGACTTAAGAGATCTGGCACACAGGAATAGCAGCCAGTGATTTTTACCAGCTCCACAGGAACATCTAGAGTGCCTCCCCCTCCCACTTTTGTGCCCAAGATTGAGAAACACTCTTTCCTTTTCATCACAGAAGAAAGGAGGAGGTAGGTCAGGGAGGGGCTGTCTGAAATCTGAAGTGACACTGAGCAGGACATGCTGCCATGACAGGATTTTATGAGCCCTCTGTCACAGCCACACACTGCCTCCCAAGGCAGGAGAGTACACCCACAGCACTGACTCTCACCACAAATCCCCCTAGCCATGAGGCTGTACCGTTAAGAATGCTTAGCCCTGCTCTGACTCACGACAGAAGTCTGAACCTGTAATTTGGATGGTAGCTAAAACCCTGGCTGATCACTCCTCAGAAGTCACCCATGAGGAAGCAGCCAGAGGAGCAGCTCAGGCTAGGAAATGTCCGCAGGTCCAACACAGCTGACTCACCTGGCTAAGAAGCTGCGCTGATCTCGCTTTGACATTCTTTGCACGTATTTCAAGCTCATTTTCTGAATCCTGTAGCTTTCTTTCCTGCACAGAGATGTCAACTTAAAGAGAGAACGACACAAGTTCCTCACTCAGCAGGCAGAGCTCTGCCACCAGAGGGAACAGGGGGGAAAAAAATAATGGGAAATTGTGACCTGCCTCTTGTGCCACCCTTGGCTGTAGAGGGTGATGCACTGAGGTGTCACAGTACCCCAGCCAACCCAAATCAGCCAAGCCACAAACTGCTAGGCAGCCTCCTCACCTTCTCCCTGTGCCTGTTCTGCAATAGGGTCAGCCGTTCATCCAGCTCTGCCTGCAGAGCTTTCACCTCCACTTCATGAAGCTGTCGGAGGCGTGCCATCTCACTTCTCAGGCCTTCCAACAGTTCTGCTCTTTGCTTTCTCTCCTGTGTGTTAGAATACAAACAAGAAAAGTGGCTGAGTGAAACACTGGGGTTCTCCAGTGAGCCACCACGACCACACAAGACACACATCCTCTGGAAAGCCACCACACAACAGATCCTTAGCAAGTACCAGTGTAAGCAAGATTAAAACCTCTTGCTTATAGGCGCAGCATTGTTAAGAGAACTGGCCCTTCTAGGCAGAAGTCGAAGTGTGCGTTGCTGCACAGAATGTTTTGACAGGTTAACCTCACAACCTGTCCTAAATTCGCTTGACATAGTGGCAACAACAGCCAGTTCTCTTAAAACAAAGCAGATCCCCCACTTTTTTGGATGGTTGAGATAAGCAGGCCTGGCAAGCAGCAGTGCCAGCCCAGGCAGAGTCCAACTGAGCCATTACAGTGACCTCCCAGCTCACTGCTCTCCCCCAGCAGTACCTCCTCTTCATACTGATCCTGAATCCTTGCCAGGACCTCCTGGTGCTCCTCTTTCATCCTCTCCATTTTCCTCTCATGGTCTTTTTCCACTCCCTGGCGTTTCTCTCTCATAAGCTCACTGAGCTGCAAGGATGACACAGAGAGATTTCCCTGAAGCACTGCATTGCACTGCAGTGGCTCCCCAGGAGAGCGGCTTCCCACGTGAACACAACGACTGAAGTTCAGGGTACTTGCAAGTGGGATCAGGCCATGGCCTGGACAGTAGGAAGCAATCACCCCGCTGAGATGAGGTGGTGCAGGAGTGCCCCTTCCCCTGCTGCACCAGCCACCCTTGGGCAGGGGACTCAGCATCTCAGACCTCAAACCTCCCAGGAGAGAGAGTGAAGAACTGTCAGCACCCAAGACAAATACTTGCCTCACGTTCATATGCCATTACTTGATACGCTTTTTGCTGCATTTTCTGCTCTGCTCTCTGCAAGTCTTCATGCAGCCAAGTCTCCTTACTCCTCTGCGCCTCCGCTGCCTGGGTTTGTAAGCTAGAAATGACCTGCCATGAAAACCACCCACAGAGACTTGTCACCCTTCTGACAAGATCCATGTAGTGCCACCCCACAAAGAGCAAACAGCATGGCAAGAACCGGTGTATACAGTCTCACCACCCCCTACTTGGAGCATGTCCAAATGCTGAGCCAGAGCAGAACCATGTTTAGGAAGTGGAAAAAACTAGTGCCACCCGCCCTGGCCACATTTGGAGACACTGTGGGAAGGAAAAAAAAAGACAATTTACATTCTAGGGACACTATCTTTTACCTTTTGATGCTTCTCTTCTGCTGCAGATTTCAGCTGCTGGAGTTCAGCTGCAAACTGTTTCTCCAGCTCCTCTGTTGCCTACAGGAACACGAGCAAAACAATCTGCTGGAAAACCTCTGTTTGTAGGGACATGCTGTGCAAGATGTTGTTGCAATTAACGTCTATCCATAAGCATCAAAAAAGCACAACAGTCAACCCAAGTTACATACAAGGTGCTTTTACTCTGTATGTGCTTTCCCTCCTAGAAGACCTCAGTGGATCTCAGTCACGCTGTGCTATGCTGGAAGAATTACAAACTGCCTCTGTTCAAGAACCCCAAGCTTTCTGGAGGACTGAAGCAGCAGCCAAAGAGGTATCCTAGCCTGATGAAATAGTTTGCTTTAGCTTGGCAAAGGCACAGTGTTCTTCCTCTCTTCTGCAGGTGCAATGTGGCCACTTAAATAATCATTACTTAATCACCATTGTAATAAAAATGGGGGAGGACTCCTCCTCAGCCCAATCATACCTCCAACAGCATGCCAAACATCTTTCCTTTGTGTTTTAACCGAGTCACTATTAAAGCACACGAAGGAGTTATTCTTATTTAATTTTAGCGTTGCAATGCAAGCCAGGTCAGCATAAACAGCATGGGTCTGACCCTACCTGGTAACAAACAAGCCTCACCTTTCTCTTTTCTGTTTCTAATCTCTCCTTAAGTTCCCTCAGAAATTGTTCCTTCTCTTGTTCCAGCCTGACCATCTCTCGCTGTTGAGCTTCCTCCATTTCCAGGTTCATTTTCTCCAAAACAAGCTGCTTCTTCCTCTCCAGGCTCTTCTTCTCTGTTACCTGCAGTGATTCCCACTCTTCTCTCAATTTTTGCAGCATGAACTCTTGCTCTGCCCTGACAGGTTTCCAACAAAAAGAGAGAGAAGCAGGTCGGAATTCGGTACTTTTAACACTGTGCTCCATTTAGGAACCAGGGCTAAGAAAATACACTGCTACAGCACAGGACATGCAAAGTCCAGATGAAATGGAGAACCAAAGCACGCTTTGATTCACAAGTGTATCAACTTTTCACCTTATCTTCTCCTCCTCTGCCTCTGTCTCTGAGGCGATTTTGGCTCGCAGCTTTGAGAGTCTCTCAGTTTCTTCTTTTCTCACACGCAACTCTTCTTCCTCAGAAGCCTTTGCCAAATCCTCTTTCAGAGTCCTGAGAAATGAGCAACAACAACAAAGTTCAGGAAGCTCTAGTATCTTCCAACTGCCTCCCCAGGGCCTACAGATCAGCTCCCACTACCTGTGCCTCCTGAGCGATGCATCCCCAAGGCTCTAGCCAGTTAATTCTCTTCCATACCTTCCCGATCTGGCTGCTGGCACAGGAGACACAGCCCCTGAGCATCAAGCTTCTGTGGTGTATTTTTAAAGTGTACTGTACCACCACGGGTGGCACTTTTTTCAGTAAGTGAAATCAACTGCTATTAAGTGAAGCCTGACTCCCAGCCAAGGTAACTGGAAGCACATCTGTAAGCTTCATACTTGCATACAGCACCTTCTTTTCCCACTGCTTTAGACATCTCTCTCTCCAGGTGCATTTTCTGTGCTGCCCCTTGCACCCAAGACAACGTTCCCACAACAGTTCCCACCAAGGTACCTTTTCTGCCTCACTGTGTGCTGCTAGCAACTTATTTGGGGTGGCCCTGGTAATTCTAGTTCAAGTCCTGAGAGAAAAATCTCCCAAACAGAGGACACCACTCCCGTTGCTGTTCTGCTCCCTGGATTGCTATTAGAACTTCAGGGCTTGGCTGGGTTTTACACAGAAATTCATGCCCTATTCCTTAAAGTCTTGTTTGGAAGTCCCTCTTTAAAGCATACAGTACCAGAGTTTCAAATAGTTCCTCTAGGGTAACCTCATCTTCTCTAATGCTCCAATTTCCAGTCCTATTACTACCGTTTAGCCCAGAATTTGAAAGTCTGCCAGGTGGTAAAGCTCCTAGTGCTGAACTGGAAACTTTTCCCAGGTTAACCATAAGAGACAGGTTCACAGCTACATGAAAGCTGCACGTGTACCAGATGAGAGCTCTTCGTGCAGGACATGAGGAAGATGCTCTCATCTGTACTGCAGAGATTTCCTCAGGCAGACTGCGTCCTCTGCATGGCTGCTTGGAGCATTTACAGCACTGACAGCAGAGCACTGCTCGTTTCAAGATGTGCAGATTCCTCCCTGCAGGATTGTCTGGGCTAGGACAGCGTCCCATGCTCCTTCCCACCCTGAGAGCCCTTTTCTTGCCTTTTTCACCCACAACTCTGCAAAGTAGCACCCGTTTCAAGGTGGGGGCCTCTAACACTGCACAAACCTGCTGCCACCAACAATGAATCGCAGCTGGGAAAGGCTCAGGAGAAACAGGACAAAAGAAGAGTACCTGAGGGATTTTTCTTTTTGCTGATGAAGCTTCTGAGCTTCTTCTTCTTCCTGCTGCCGCATCTCCTCCTGGAATTGCTGAATTTTCTCCTCCTTTGCTTGCAGTAAGTGCATTTTCTCTTGTTCAATCTCCTTCTCCAGCTCCTTGGCTATTCCCTCCAGGGATTCTTCACTAGGCTGGCTCAGGGACTGCTCTTGTTTTATTTCCTTTTCAGGTTGCCTACCAAAAAAAGAAAGTTCCTTTGGCAAAAGGGTGAGAGAACTGAGTAACGCGAATGGAACAGCAACATTCCCCCACACAGTATCACCTCCAAACCAAAAATCTCAAAGCCACCCACTCCACAAGCCTGCCAGTCTACGAAGGGAAAGGATGTGCAGAAGCTCCCCCAGACTGCAGCCACTTGCAGGCTGCTGGGGAACACTCGCTGTGTAGCTCACAGGAGGTGAGGAACAGCAGAGGAGGCAGGTGGAGGACACAGAGGCAGAAGACAACCTTGCTACAGAGCTCCTCCTGGCATTGTCCCCTGCAACATTCCTGGAGAACAAATCCATTCACCTGCCTGCCAGCCAAACTCACGGGCCTTACACCCTGAACTTTTTCAGCTGCAGATCCAGGAAAGCATTTTTCACAAGGCTGTTGAGGGATAGGTGGCCCAGGCTCCGAGCTTCGAGTAGCATGTTAGCTCAGATAACAGCTTGGGGTGTCCCCAGGCAGCCTGGTTGGCACTCTCATTGCCTCCCAGAGAAACTCGGACTGAGAAATTACTAACCCTAGCCCTAACAGCACTTAGGTCCTGAACAACTCGTCTTCTGGCACACTACAGCCTCACCTCGTGAAGGGCCTAGCAGCTAAGAAAACCTGGATCTGACTGCCAGGCATAAAAGCAGCTGCAATCAGTGCTAGTTTTTAACCCAGGGACTGGCAATACACTTCTGATGGACCAGGTATTTTTCTGCAGTTGCAATCTAAAGTGTGCTGGGAGTTTGCCAGCCCTAAGCAACAGAAAGCCCTAAGCTCTCCAAAAATTCAGAACCAATCTGTTTATAATTAAGGTGGGTTTTCTTTTGTGTGTGTGTGTTTTTTTTTTTTTCTCAGACATAGAACAGCAAAATTATAAGGTCTGTCTGAAAGAGGCTGAAGGGGAAGGAGGACAAATGAAGAGCAGTCTAAGGACAACATTTTTATTCTTTGCTAGTGGAAACTGAAGCAGCGAGGTTTCGTCATGCTCTGAGACTGCTAGCATAAGGCAGAGAGACTTCTGTCTTGCCAGGAATTGGGGAAATAATAGCTCTAGTAATATAACCTTGAGTCAGAGAGAAAAGGTTACTCGTGTAGCCATTAGCAAAAGAACGAGAGAGAGGAAAGGGTAGTAGGGTCCTGAAGAAATCCTGCTTCACCAGCATTCCCCTGTAACACCACATGCTGTGGGCCAACTGCACAGATGCCTACAGGAGGTACCATTTATCAGGCTGCTCTGTGGAGCAACTTGGGCATTTCTACCTTTCTCTCTCTTGTTTTTGCTCTATTTTTTGTTTTAAAAGCCGTCCAACCAACACACACACATTTACACAAACAAACCCCAATAAAAAGGGAGGTGCTGCGCTTTCCTCACACCAAGGACTGCTACTCCACCACTTTGTCATGACAGATCCATTGCCTATTTTTTTCCCAATTACACCTGCTGCTCTGTCATTCGACACAGAGAGCAAGGTCAGCCTGTTCACCCCTATTGCAGTGGAACTGCAGGTACAGAGCAGCAACCACCACCAGTTTAGTACCATGAGAGACCACTGGGTTTTGCAGGGAAGCCGAGCTCTGCCATCGTGTGCTCTGACTTCATTACCTCAAACCAGTGATCCCAGTGACTCTAAAAGTGAAGTGGTTACCCCCCAACAAACACACTGAGACCTCAGTCGTTCTCAGCAAGAGAACTCAGGAAAATCTTTATCCAGGTGTGTGAGTGCTGAGCCTTGCTAGCGGCGCTGGTAAGGAGGCTTTTCCAAGAGGAAAGCACACAGATCCTTCTCCGTACCAGAGCCCTACACCCCAGGCCCCAAGGGCTGAGCTGCTGTTCTCACCCTCGCGGTACAGACTGTTACCTTGGCACTCTCGCCACAGAACAGCTGCTGGGATTTGCACAGGGAGATGTTCTCAAGCTTTGTTGTGCCCACCCAGCCACATCTCCTAGCGTGATAACATCACACGGTAACTTCAAGCAGTAATGGGGTCGGGGAGGGGAGGACAAAAGCTGTTATGCTTACAACACCAGAGACTTAAACAAACTTAAACGAAGCCCTTACTCTTTCTGTGGGGCAGCAAGCTCTTCCAGATTGATTAGGCTATCCAGTGATCCCTCCGCCAGCTCCAGGGCCACCGCCTCTTCTTGTTTGGGGTTTTCTAAAGCAACACACTTCTGTCCTGATGTTTCACAACCACTCTGATCCCTCTCACTTTGCAGCACAAAAAAGGTAACAGAATATCAGATTAGCACAGATTAGATTCTGGTGGCTGCTCCAGGTACACAAAGACAGAAGGAAGATGGGACGTGTGGCTGACTTAGATGGGCAGTCAGCAGCTCCAGCTCATGCCTGCCAAAGGGACTCCATTGTCCAATATAGGGCTGCCAAAACCCCAACAAAGCTCCCGAGCTCCAAACCATTCACACCACCTCAGGCCCTGCCAAAGTAACAGGCAGCTGAGGATTTCATGTGTCTTTCAACCTCAAAATACTGAATCTTGTTGCTGGATTACCTCCCTCTCTTTGCAAGTCCTTACAGGATTTCCCCAAGATACATCAGCCCTACTAGTAATACCCACGTTGTTGTCTAAATTGGAGATAGGAATATTGGCAGGCATGTCTACATCTACAGTTCTACTTCACCTTGGAAGCACAGAGAAGAGAGACTAGGCAAGCACAAAGTAGCTTTGCAGGCAGAGCAAGAGGACACGTAGCTGGGAAGCAGGTACCAAGTGATAAGGACACAGTTCCTGGGGGCAGAACACATTTTCAGGGACCTTCACGTGAACAGCTCCTCCAAGCACAAAGTTGTGAATCCCAAGTGCACGCAGCCAGTCATTAAGATGGGCTGCAACTTCTTGTGTTCACAGGTTTTCCTGGCACAGGCAACAGCTTCTTGGTTCCCAGTGCCCCAGAGTGCTGTGTAGCTCTGCTGTGGAAGCTAAGAGCTTGGACACAACTCATCTCTAAATGCCACGTGCTACAGCTCTCAAAGGCAGAGTGGGAGATCAGGAGACCAGTGGAGCTCACTGCTCAGTACAATATTCCGATTGTTTTAAACAAGTCTCCACAAGCAGGAGGAAAATAGGTCCCCTAGACAGCTTGCAGTTCTCACAGTAACTGAGGGTCTGGAAAGCCTGCGCTGCTCTCGGGGTAACAGCCACTGCATTCTAGACATGTCCACACAGCAGGATAATAAACCAGCTTCCCACTTACACCTGGCTAAACAGTGACCTCCCCTACACCACCCCTGTGGAACAGAACTGGTCACACTGGAGCTGCACTGCCCTGCCATCAGCAGCAGGAGCCAGGCCCCGGGAGCCTCCAGCTATGGCTGTGCCCAGCACGGTGCTGGTTCTGCTGGGCTGCCAGCTCTGGCTGAGACTGGGCCTTGCCTCAGGACCTGAAGGTCTGTTCGCAGGCAATGGCTAGTGCCCGAGTCCCCTGTGGGTAAGGCACAACAGAAGGCACAACACAATGAGAACAAAGTCAGCACATCTTGGCAAGAGACTGATTTTCCCAACCTTGGAGCAGAGTTGGATAGCTGGAAGGGGAATGGAGAGGCCAGCTCCACGGCTGGGGGCGGTCACAAGGAAGTGGAGGGCAGGCAGTTTTGCTGCCTTCCCAACCAGAAGCTGAAACAAAGCTGAAATCTGTTGAGGCAATACTAAAGAGGTGGTGGGAGAAAGACTGAACGGAAGAAATCCTGTGAGAAGCTGCAGGGTCTTGGGATGTCCTACAGGGAGCTCCTGCACAGGTGACAGTGACTACAGCACAGCAGAGGCAGACAAGACAGGAAAATCATCTAGCGCTAAAGCTGTCTGTGCTTCCTTTCTAGCTCTGACTGGTGGTACCATACCTGTCAGCAGCTTTCGTTCTTTTGCTTTGCTCTTCTTCTATACTGGCTTTGCTTTGATCTTTCTCTTCTTCTCCCAGCTCCTGGGCCTGCAGGTAAAAGCAAACAGTGTGGAGTTTGCTGGCTCCTTTGCCATCAAAGCCTCTCAGGACCTCACGGAGGTCCACCCTGGTCCACCACACCAGCACCAAGCCCACGGACCAAACTGCATGGCAGGGCACTCCAGAATGCCCAGCTGAACGTGTTAGCTTCCTCTCCTGCAATGCAACCAAAGCCTCGAGATATCGCAAGGGCACCTTGGAGGAAGAGATCCATCAGCCCAGGGACATTTGAGAGCTCTGCTCTCCAGGCTGTGGTGTTAGACTGTGGGCTCAGGTTTGCTTTATGCAGTACAGAAGATGAGCTCTCTGCCAGGACCCAGCACTCCTAGTACAGGTTTGGGTTATTTCCCCCCGTCCCTGAAGGTCATCTTAACACATCCAGGTAACACTAACGTTGATATATTGATTGTGACCAGAATCACAACAGGACTTGATCCTGCCTTGCGTCCTGGTTCTCAAGCAGATGATGATGGGCAGCGTGCTTCATGCAGCCACAGCTACCTACAGACTTCTGACTACGCCATCCAGCAGAAATCCATCTGGGTGCTGTAGACAAAGCCAGCTCCCTTGGTAACACGCTCAGAGTGACTTCAGATGGCTTACTTACGAAATAGGAAACACTTTTATATTCAAGTACTCGCTGTTTCCATAGTCAGCTGCTCCTTTTCCCACCTGCCAGCTACCAGGCACCTCTGTCCCTCCCGCAGGGCCACACAAACACGCGTTGTGTAATTCAGCTGGGGAGAGGGAGCAGCTTCCCTCTCCAAGCTCTCAGTCCCACATGAGAAAGGATTAACAGCTCATCCTGCCTGCTGAGGCTTCTGGATATGAGGTCTCTTGTCCAGAGAGGAGTAGCCCACTCATAAGCTCCTGGGGACCACAGAAATAGCAGGTGAGCTCTTCCCTTGCCATGCAGGAATGTAGTGTGGAGCAGGGCCAAAAAAGCAATTAAAACAGCAGTAATTTATGCAAATGTTCAGCAGAGCAAACAGCAGAAGGATTCCCTGCAAGTGCTGTCACCTTCCATCACATCAGCCTGGGCAGAGCTCTCCCAGGCAGCTCCCTGCCACCCCAGCCTCAATAATGACTTCACTCCTGAGAGCTGAGGAGCCCCACAAACATCTCCTGGCTCAAACCAGGCTGTGCCGCCTGGGAAAGGAGAGAAGCCAAGCAAATGAAGAACGAGATCTTTCGGGGAATAAAGGTAAGCGGTTACAGGGTAATGCTGCTGAGCTCAAGCCTGGGGCCACCGTGACACTCCTGCCCAACATGCCTTCCCAGGGGCAGTCCCTCCACAAACCACAGGCTGCTGATACATCCAGACATATTGAGAAGGTGAATGGAGAGCCTGCCTGCAGGGAACAAGGGCTGGATTTTAAGCCCTGTCTGTGAAATTGCTGGAGCCTTGCCCTTCTTGTTGCCTCAGGATCCCCAGCAGTCCCAGAGGAAGCACCAAATACTGCTCGCAGCTTGGTTTTCTGTCCTGCTTAAACACCAGGCTGAGTCCCACAGGAAAAATCTCACACGCTCGCAATACAAAGCCAGGCTCCTGGACACATGAAAGCAGGATGACAGATAATAGGCCGTCTTCTCTCTGCAGAGCATAGCCCCCAAGGGGCCTCGACAGGAGGATTTCCACGGTCTCCAGCACACAACAGCTCAGATCCCATGCCTGCTTCCAGCTCCTCACCGCTCTCGCAGCAACGATGCCAGCAAAGCAGGATGCCAACACTTCAAATGCCTGCTAAGTGAAGGGTGAAAGGATCAACCTCCCCACTGCCAGCAGAGAAGGCAAGTCTTGCAGGCAGCAGCCCACACTGCCTCTGCAATCTACCACAGCTCCTGCCAAAACACGCTAACCAAAAGCTTCCAATGCTGTGCACGTGTAGTGTCACAGAGGCAGTCTTTTTTTTTTTTTTGGAAAGAGAGTATTTTGCCAATATATTTAAAGCGAGGCAAGCTCATTGCATGACAGTAAACACACTGCAACAATCCAGTCTCATTTCAAAATAGCCTCTGTCTTTCAACAGAAAAGAGCAGCTGCAGTTCTGCAGGGGGCACCATTTCAGACCTACCTCTCTCTCCTCAAGACAAGGCTGTAATAAACTCAAAATGTGCCTGCTCCAACAAGACATTTGTATGCACGAGGACTGTGCTGTAGCAAGAGGGAGAGGGGGAGAACACAGCAGGCATATGTTTTGTTTTCCCTTCACATCTGATTATGCTCATTATTAGGCACAAGAGGACAGGTGTATTCTCCAGACAACCTAACAAACTGGATTGCTCCTCTCTGCTGGACAGGTGGTGAGTTTGCCACTCAAGGTCTCCTCCAGTGCAGCTGATCAACTCACTTACAATCAGAGCAAGGCTGAGTAAACCCCAGCTGGAGCCTGACCCTCTGCCTCCCCGTGCAGCACGCTCTTCCAGCCAGCGTGCTGATGAGCTGAGAGGATGGTGCAGGAGAGGGGTAGCTGGGATGGCTCAACAGGAACGTGGGGCTGCAGAAGACAACTCAGCAACATGCTGAGAAGACAAGATAAAACCTCAAGAGGCACAGTAATCTTCTCCAGTCAGCACTGCCCTAACATAGCTACATATGGGGCCGATGTGATGTAGGAAGCAGACACGTGCAGGCGTATGTACGCTCCTCCATATGCCACAGACTCACTGAACGGAGCCGATTTCGCAGCTACATGAAAGCAGGCAAGACAAGCAAATGCTCAGCAACGGGCTTCCCTATAACAAAACCTGTCACGGGGAGGCAACCTCCTTTTCTTCATTTTATATGGTGTTCTGCTACACGAGTCCTCTTCATTTGCTTAAGAGAATGAAAAGGACAAAAAAAAAAAAAGTAAAATAGACTCTGCTTCCCATCACTCTCTGGGAAAGCCATTGTCTGCACTTGTACTGGGGGCAGGGAAAGGACACATCTGTGAGCCTGCACACACGCACCACTCAAATCACCTCTACTCAGAGTATGGCCATTGTACAGCTTCCCCTCATGGGAAGGACTGCAGCTACCTGCTTCTCTGCAGATAAAGGAGCGCACCAGAACTGCTGCTCCAATCCCTGCCCCAGAGGCAGGGTGCTTAACATCTCTCTCCTGTTTGCCTCAAAACCTTGTGCAGTTAGCTTCATCCTGTGCTTAGTACACCACAAAGCAGTATTTTAACCTGCTTGTTCAGAGATTGGTCCCTCATCACATGTAAAGCACTTACCTTGCACACAGGGCTGTCTAAAACAGGAGACAGAACACCCACATCCAATACCTGCTCCGAAAACCGACTCTGGAAAGCCAAGTCCTGAAGGAGAAAGAAAAGGATCGGTGTCTGACAAGCATGCACTGGTTTCGCCAGAGCTCCTGAGAGATTAGAATAAAATCCAAACACAGCTTGGAATCCATGCTCATCATTCCACTGATAGCAAGTCAGTTAAAATATCTAGTGCTAGCACAATTCCAAAGGTTTACAGGACACAGGAGATGGCTTACAGCAAGACTCAGGCCTGCATCCAAGAACAGATCATATCTGTCCTGCAGTCAGATGGTTCTGGTAGGGGCTTGACCAGCAGCAAGCTGGGTTTTCTGCTTCCCATGCTGCAGGGGCACAGAGACACCATGGTTTACCCAGAGCTGCAGGGATGACAGGTGGGGCAGTGGCATCGTGCTGCAGCGAGGCTCTTTTCACTGACAGCCCCGGAGGAAATTCTCCTTGTGATGCCAGGGGGCTGCAATTCCACGCAAGGACATCCTGGAATTGCTGCAGGGCAGCGAGCTCTGCCACGCCACGCCATGCACTCCTCATGCCACAGGTCACAGCAGGCAGGGTGACACGCAGCACGTCTACAGCAAGCAGCAGATCTCCCCCTCAGTCCCCCGACCCAATTTCCAATATTGTTGCAGATTTTCTGAGATTTTTTTTCCCCTAAAAGCCAGCTCCTGCAAGTTGCCCACAGGCTGGTCACTCGTATAGCTCTCCTGAAACTGTGGGTCCGTGCACCTGGCTGCAGACACTGTGTGTGTGTGTACACACGCCCACAAGCAAGCACTAGAGAAGGCATCGTTTGATGCAGCAGCCACTTGCCAGCACAGGCGTGCACGAACACTGGTAAATAATGATATTCTCAGCCATTTTCTGGCCATGCTGCCTCTGCTCCCAGTGGCAGATGGCAGCGGCAGCTTCCTGTAGAGACAAAGAGATGCTGATGGGCACTTCACCCCCACCTCAGGGCTACCCTCCTGCACGGTCTCCCTCTGGGACACTCGGAAGCCAGGTCCCCCAGCCATACACACTTCCAATAGCAAAAGCTGGTTAGTCCCTTACAGCATGATTTTATATTGCTTATTATTTTCCATTCTGCAATTATCTGAGTGGAGTCCCAGCTATGAGTGACCTACTTTTGCAGGGATATTACCTCACCCGCAGAACTGAACCTGCACTTCTCTGCAATCTCTGCTCCCCCCAGGTAAAAGCCTGTCATCACACCTGGCCGTGGAAGCGCCACAGCCTACCCACCACGAGAATACCCACGTCAGGACCTCACAGAGCAGACCTGTGAATACTTCTGAGTGCCTGACCTGGGGCTGGCTTCTCCCTGGGAAGCATAGCCATGGAGTAAGAGGAGGTTTGAGAGTGAGAGCTGGTCCTGCCAACACTGCTGTCTGAGCACAGGCAGTTCTTGCTCAAGTCATTCATCCAATAAAGCCTGTGCTCGCTCAGGAATTAGCTAAGCACAACTGTGGTTCAGTATCTCAAGAACCCCCCCCGAATACCAAAGCTACACAAAGGATGACATTGGTGGCCTGTGCCACAGCTGTAATGTCACTGCCTAGCAGGGAGTCAGGGCAGTGAGCGCAGGAGATGGCCGTGATCTCACACTGTCTGCACATTCCCAGGGAATGCAGAGCCCATGCCCAAGGGACGAGGGACTTTTGGTGACTCACCATATGCTGAATCAGCTCGTGGTCTGAGCGGTTGGAAGCCTGCAAGTCCTCCACACATTCACTGGTCTCGGATGCCTTTGAAAGCTGAAAGGAGACATGCATTATGGCCTGCAGGTGTTAGCTCTGCTGCTTCATTTAGGCATTTCCAACTAAAAGAAGACAAATGATACTCGGAAGACAAATCTGGTCTCTGTACGCCACAAGGAAGAAAAACATCATGTGTCTGAGGTGACTGAACGTCTTAGGAAAGACCAAGGGTGTGACCCACAAAACAATCACGAAACACCACAGAGAAAGGACTGGGGAGGGAGGACAGGTGCAGAGGATGGGACTGGGGAGGGCAAAGAAGTGCTCTTCAAATATCCCTGATAAAAGGCTTATGGTCCTGATCCTTCTACGAGAATCTCCCCAGCTCTGAGAACTCCCCAGGCCACCAAGTAAGCCTGTGAAGCACAGAACAGCAGCAAGCTTCTTCAGTGACTTTATTGGTCCAACACCTTGCTGTGCTGTGCCCCGTGCAGCGAGGACTCCTGTGTTCCCAGGCATCGTGAAACAATACGGAGCTGTTCACCATTAGCACCCAAGCCGTGCTGCTGACTTCAGCACAACCACCCAGAAATGTAAAGGCAGCATGCAGATGGTGCTTATAAAAGCAAAGATTTCAGCTTTAAGCTCTTCAGGACAGAGCATGTTTTTTTTAGGCTCAGTTTTACAGCTTATCATTTCTTAGACATCACCCACCAATGGAATGAGATAAGTCATCAAAATTAGCTGGAGGAAAACGGGATTGCAGAGACATCATCTATCAGGTCTCACGTTAACACCTCTGCACGGCACTGAACAAACCTGGAAGGTGTGCACCTGACCCCCCAGGCCGTTTCCCCACCTGCACCTCGTGATGCAGAGCAGCCCACCTCCTGCCGGAGCCTGCACAGACAGCACCTCACTGCAGCCCGCTGCAGCCAGCTGCCTGCCCATTCCCCTCCCAGGCAGCATCACAGAAGCAGTGCACGGGCTGGAAGGAAGGCTCCAGGCTCGAGCTGCGGCTCTGGAGCCAGCCCCCAGGTGCAGTCCCGCAGTCCTTCCCCACACTGACCTCACGCTTCCCTCTCAGCATCCTCCCGTGGAGCTGTACACACCACAACTGGCAGCTCGCTTTACACGTTCGCCCTGTCTCTACATAAGCTGAGAGAAACAACAGAAGGAGAGAAACAAAGCAGCACGGACAGCTGGGCTTGGTGTGAACTTCATTATAAAACCTGCTTGCTTAGTACAGATGGCAGCACTGAAAGCTGAGACTTATTTCTCCTCTAAGACTTGAAACACACAGCCCCGTCCAGGATTTTTGCCTGTCAGTTGCTTTGGACAGCACTTTGTGTATGCACAGAAGAATATTTCCTAGCTCAGTACTAAAGTTGCCGATCTGGGAATTCAGAGCACTCGTGCCCCCCCAGGAACAGGCTGCTGATTAGGGAAGCACTTATGCTGACTTAACAGAAGATGAGTGAGTGTTCCAAGTGCTTCCCTGAATCGAGGCCTTACAAAGCAACGGGAACAGCCACAGCAGATTCCACACCAAACCCAATCCGTGCAGGCAGGTCTCTTACTTTGCCAGCATCCAGCCTGCTGTCTGTTTTCAGATCAGCTGCTTCTTCCCTCATTTCATTTACTATATTTTCATCAACAGACACGGTGTCAACGGTGACAGCCAGGCTTGCCAGCTGATCTGCCTCAGCAGCTTCAGCAGCTGGAGATGCAGCTCTGGGTTGCACAGGACTGCCGGGCACATCTGTCCCTGGTGCTCTCCGTTCCTCCAGAGACCGTGGCAGCTCATCAGCTGCCGAGACGTCACCTTCCACCTCAGCATCTTTCTCGGCTGGTGGTTCATTCCCAGCAAGTTTCCCATCAGAATCCTCTTTGTTCTGGCCAGAAAGGCTGCTGTCAGCATCTCCGGAAAGGACTTTAATCGGCGTTGCAGGGCATGCATCATCGGCATCCAAGGAAGACTCATGCCCTTCTTCAGCATGTCTTGATTTTAAAGACTCCTTCTAGGCAGCAAGTCAAACACAATTACAGCTACAACATTCTTTAACCCCTTCTCTGGGAAAAAGCTAGGGTGAAAATAGTATGGGTTCTCCTACAGCAAGAAGCAAAAAAATCACAAAGCTCTGGGTGACTTCAACAAGACCAACTTGACTTAATTTCATACAGTCCATCTCAAAGGAAAGGAAGGGTAAGATAAACCCACTCTTTTCCTGGGGTTGAGACTATTATTTTTTTTACTCTGTTGTTTTTGTATTCATGGGGACTCAGCGCTAGCAGTGCCTGTTGCAGGGATCAGTCCATGGGAGCACCTTAAATGCTCTGCAGTAGGCTCATCCATGCTTTTACACTGAGTCTGTTCAGCAAGAGATGGAAGCTTGCAGGAGAATCACCAGATGTTTCACTTCTGCCTGAAATAACTAGAGAAGGGTAGGCAGGATGCAGCCACCCCACCTTCCAGAGGCACAAACTTACGGACAGGCCCTGATTTAAGCTGCCACTCTGAGCTCAGAACAAGACCAGGACCAGCTACTGTTCTAGACTAAGAAATGGCAGAACCCACTGGCCCTGGAAAAAACAATCCCAAGTAAGAGCTTAGTCACCCAAAGGTTTGGCTGCCTCTGCCAGCAGTGGGGAGGCCCACAGAACTGACAATAAAAAGCGTGATAGCCAGGAGGAAGCAGGAAAAGGTTCCCTCATCAGTATGCAAACAAAACTGCTAGCACTTCCTATTTTCTCGCTGTTTTATTAATGCTGTGGTGTCTTGTCAAACATTAGCTGCATCCTGTGTACAGCGTGTACCATACACAGACTGCATATTTTAACGATGTATTTTTATCAAAGTGCAACTGGAATGCTGTCAGTTTTAAACACGGAGCTGCGGCAAACCGAGGGGATGTCTTGGACATGTCATTTGTCTGCGAGACCTTCTCAGGGCTGAGAGAATCATCAATCAAACCAGAGGGGAGGACAGAGAAATCAAATCACTGGATACTTTCCAAAAAAACTACAGTTCAGAGACTCACCTGCAATTTGCCAAGTAATAAATGAAAGCTTACGGCCTGTTTCCAGCCCAGTGCCTGGTTAGGGAAGGTTCACAAACACCACTGAATCACTAGCCAGCCACACGAAGCTCTCCAAAGGCCTTGATAACGCCTTTGGTCCAGAACGCAGCCAAATTTGTATGCAGCTGCCATCTCTGTAGTGATCCTCCAGTCAGCCCATCTTTGCTATGCTTCGTTTTATCTGGGGATAAGCATGTCTGGAAGAACCAGTCACTGATTGGGCTCCCCTTTGGATAGCTTGGCTTAGAGTTTTTATGAAAGCCTTCTCCCAGGACACCTGACAACGCCCAAGAAAAAATATGCCAGATGAGACCAGCCAGGGTTCTTAGGCTTAAAAACAGGAAACGGGTATTTCCCTTTGAGGGGTACATGGGACAACATGCTGATGTGTCCATTAATACTGTGTGCACAAAGAGATTTCTCTCCAGGCAAATATACCTCAGTCACTAGAATATCCCAGAGTAATCTCTTTAGCTGGCAGAACCCTATTTTAAGGACAGATGCAGACAAGACTTTTGTTAGCATTACGCCTTAATGATCACTAGTGCAACTCACACAGTTCCCCCTTCTGGAGAATCAGATACACAGGTGGAAGGGGAGGGAGGTTTTCCTCGTGTCAAAAATAGACGGTGGATTTTCTATGGATTTCAGAGCTAGGAAGAGTCAGCCAGGCTATAATTGGCTTTGGCTGATCTTTTCACAAGCTGTAACACATTTTACCTGTAGCAGAGTGACACTAAAAAATATGAAATTTCTCCCTATCAAATATATTGCTTCCAGACTTCAAGTGATCAGCATAAGTGGAGGAAAACAAAAAAACACATGGGGACTGGCTTTTAGAAAGGCATCCAATTCAGAGACAAACAACCAGTACAAACAGCAGACACCAAAACTGAATCCTACTCATCTCAGGAAAATCCAAAGCGGCACAGTCATCCTGTGTAACAGCTTGAACATGAGAGATTACAACAAAAACCTTCATCTTTCTATCTCTAAAGAGGGGAAAAAAAGACAAATACTCATAGTGCATACAGAATTCCTTTGAAAGCTGAACGTGCTTCCTGCTTTTGGGATGTTCTCAGGCAGAGAAGTACAGAGTGGGATAGCTCTGGCAGACCTCATCTGGGAAGCATTTGTTCTTTCTGTTTGCACCCCTCTCCATACACATCATACTTTAACCAGCAAAAGAAACAAGCCAAGCAGCTATGAGATCCACACCACAACACTGGAAGCTGCCTACGGCATGCAAAGCTCAATGACATCATGCAAGCGGGCCCGTGATGCCAGAGAGCCACTCGTCACCTCTCTCAGACTGCCAGCTTCCTCTGCGGGACTCCTCTGGTGCTGGAGGCGAGCTTCAGGGACATCAGCTAAGCGGCTGCCAAAGTCCTCCTCCTCCGCTTTGCTGGTCTCCTAATGGGCGGGGTAACACCTGCTAGCACATATTCACACACCACCTTTCTGCACTGCTAGGGTCATCCAGCCCTGAGAAGCCAGCATCCTGGTTGTTCGCTACTGAGTGCACCCAGACAGTGGAAACCTCTCCAGCTGAAGAGCTTTCCAGCCTGTACTCAGGGGCTCACAGCCTCGGATTCCCACACAGCACACTCTCATTAGCAGCCTGCACAAAGGTGCTGCTTTACTGCTGGCCCGCTCAGTGGACTTGCTGTTCAGACTGCACCAGACTCTTCCCAGATCAAGGCTTGCTTTACTTCCCAGGAGTGAGAACTGCTGACTTACTACAGCAGTTCTTCACCAGGCTTCCCCAGGACAGGAGAGAGCAAGGCTATGAACACACCAGCCATTCCTCCCCCTTAACTAGTCATCACTGCACTGATGCCTTATGGATGTCTTAATTGCCTTGGAGCCAGCAATGCTGCCTCCTGCACATACATCTCTGCACCGAGATGCATGCTGTATTGTGCAGTGTTTACTTACAGAGACTGCTCTCTTTCACACGTTTCCATCTGGTAAGAGAGCTTTGCATGTTAATTCCCCACCACATAAAGGAGCCCCTTGACTCCAACTGTTTACCCAGAGATTGACCTGTACAGAAGGCAGAGTACCAAAGCTTCCCAAGCTGCAAGCTCTGCAGTTTGCGGATCACTTCTGCTGTCACTGGACCCTCTCTCCAGGTACCCATAGTGAGATGCTTCCAGGTCTTTTCCTCTGCTTGCCCCTTTCAGCAGTTCCCAGAGTTCTTTCACATTTTAATGGCACTCTTGCACATCTGCAGCAACTATTCCATCACCAGAAATCAGGAGGCATGAAAGCTGGGTTCAGGTGAGAACTAACCCCATGAACAGCCAAGCAAACCAAGCCTTAGAGGCGGCCCTCTTTCTAAAAGGACATGCGAGCCGTTACATATAAACCGCACTCCTCAAGTTCTCCAGCATCTGCCTTGGGTTTTATTTTCAGTGTTTTTTCCCCAGCTAAATTACTCCTTGCTCCACAAGAGGCTACTTAAAGTGGTAGCATTTCTGTCCGTCTGTGCTTCCGCTCTTCCACACAGTTGTGCCATATTCAGTGCAGCCTCTACTTTTACCCACCATCCTTGCATCTCAGTAAGTCATTAAACCCTCACATATTTCTTTTGAATATGGATGTTCAGCACCGATCCACAGACTACACAAAATCAGCTTTTTTCATCCCATTACTTCTTAGATTTACTTTCTGTAGGGCTTGTTTTATGAATTCCTTCCTTCTCTCCATTTTGAAAAGAAGCTGGAGAATGGTTTGGGATGCAGGCTGAGGGCTCTCTCGTAAGAGTGTTTTTCTACTGCCATCTCATGGAGCTACAAGTGAATGATGTTTTTTCACTGGGACACTAATATTTTATCAGGACTGAGGTATCACCAATCTGATTTACTAGCTTTTGAGACAGAGCCTGGCTGCTGGGCAGCAATTGCCATTTTATAATAGATTCCTGAAGCCCCACCACGTCACTGAAATGCCAGGACAGCTCTTTGCTCCTGGACACATTAACATTTCAGTGACAAATTGGGCTCCAACAGGCATCTTGTTGTTTGGAGATGAGAGAGTTGAGCCTTTTTTTACATCCACTTTAACAGAAACCTTTGCAGTTCTTGCCCGGCGCTGTTCAATAGGTTCTCCAAAGTATTTTACAGCTTGATTTTTTTGTATACTGTGAAAAGGGTGAGGGAAATACCGAAAATGTTTTAAGAGAAATTAATTTGCCTTTCAGATACTGAAACAGAATTTTCAAAGTGGTAAGAGAGGATTAATGTCAGCACAAACAGGCTGAATCACTAGAGCTGCTTGCAACGCACTTCACATTGTCCCTTTGTCATCTTAAGCCTGATCACTGCTAAGAAAGTGCTGGCAAAGAATGCACACCCGCAGGGAAAGCAAGATGTCTGCACAAGGCAACACATGTACTGAACTCATTGCTGATGCTCTGAGCCTGAGCAATGGAATTTATCAGCATGCAAAACAGAAAACGGGTTTCACATTACCACAAAAAAAAAAAAAGAGAGGCCATATTCAGTCCACAATGAAGAACCTAAGAGATTCTTGTGGAATTGGATGAGAATGCGAGGATGGTGTTTCCAGACTAAATTCCCATCTTCTCTCTCTCTAAATGAGACCACTGCAATTTCAGCAGAGGATGAGGCTTCCTTCTACACCAACTGAAAAAAGCAATGAGGAAACAAATCATTCCTCTTCCTCATCAATCCTTCCTCCCACAACAGGTACAGTGGTGCCACTCAGATTCGAGACCCTCTCCTTTCTGCCCTTCCTTGGAAGAGCTGATTTCTGTCTTGCCCATCACACCTATGTGGCTTGAAGTTTTTCTCTTTCTTCATTCAGAAATAATTAAAACTCCTCCTTGTGCAAACGTGCAGCCAACTCAAATACCATCTCTCAGACTGGAAGCATTCTCCTTCAAGCACAAGTCTGCCTTCTGATACCCACACCTTGCCCCTCTACAGCCTATTTCTGGCTTCTCCAGGCTATTAATTCTTGTGAATTACATTCACTGGGCACCTTTCCTGCAGCCCATGCGTGGGCAGTGCACTGTCATAGCTCCTCTTCTACCTGGGCAGTTTTACATGCCTGTTTCACATTGTCTTTCTTACCTCAGATTCAAAGCTGCCTCCCAAGGCACTGACATCCATGTGCAGGTTTTTGAACAGTCTTGTTGTCCCACGGAGACTCTAAATGTATTCAAAGAAAGAAAATGGTTGAAATTGAGTTCTGATCTCTGCAATCCCATAGGCCACACCGAAGGAACTTGAGAGTTCACAATTAGTGGAAATAAGGGAGCAGAGCCACAGCAACACACGACAGCAATAAGCCTATGGTCAATTAATCTTAGAAATGCATTGTGGCAGATGTTGATTTATAGAGAGCACAAGGAGAAAAAAGATAAGATGCTTTTTGGCAACCAAGCGACACACACAGGAAGTGCAGTGCAAATTAAGGCCTAAAGTTAAACTGAATGACCACGGTCAGTCAGCTCTTACTGGGGGTAGCATCACAGTCTTTCATGCTGTGAGGCTTCATGCACTACAGTTACTGACACGTATTAAGAATCAATACACAAACTACCTCATTCTCGCTTTCTTCCTCTTCATTTCTCTTGTTATCTAAAGGTACTGTGTTTAGAGAGCTCTTGTCTTCACAGACCAGTCCCAGCAACTTCGTGGTCTGGCCAGTGGGCTTACAGGGCTCTGCAGGCTGCGAAGTCAAAAAGAAAGGGAAGTCAGGGGACAGGCAAAGTAACAGGGGAGATACAAACCCACTGAAACCCACTGGACTTCGAAAGCTGCCGATGGCAAGAAGTTTTTGAATTCTGAGAACTTGCTCAGGATTACACTGCTACCCTTATTTTTCAGAGCCACAGCCAGCTAGGAGGTGACATTCTTTAGGAGGTTGCTCTTTCCTGTTACAAAAAAAGAGTCTCCCAGAGAACATATGCGAAACCTTCCTGTGCCTCCAAACAGTGATTCAGTCAAGACCAACTGTAGCAGATGTTTTGTTTGGATCGCTTTGTTGAAGGTAGAAAGTGGCATACAGCTAGTTACACAGAGTGAACACAATGAAATAAAATGTTTGCACTCGCCAGTGACAATCAAGTCAGCAAAAGAAACCTTCAGTGAAGATGTTCGTTTGAATAATGTTTTGCAAGTATATTATTTGATTTATCCTTGAAATTAAAAAATTACTACATAAAGCATTCTTGATTTTTTATCCTGAAGAGCACATTCTATAAACAATCAATGTGATTGTAAGTCTTATTTTTAACCAGAAAATGTTCTTTCAATTCCTTTCTCATTAGACAGGAGAGTGGAAATTTTATTTTTTAGATTACGTCATCTGTACTGTATGCCATGCTTCATTTGGATAGAAATTAAAGATCACCTAAAATGAACTTAACAGCATTTCAACAGTAACTGAAAATGTCCTTTCTTTAAAGCTGCTAACCATACAAAAATTGGCACTGGGCTCCTTAGAATTAGCAGAAAAACAAGCAATATGGTGCGAGTTGGGGAAGGTTTTGTTTGTTTGTTTTTTAAAACAGTCAGAAGTATTTCAAAACCGAGGAGAGGTCACAAATACTGCCTTTTAAACCTCTATGTATTGCCAAGCCCGTGACCTCTTGCGGAGCCTGCTTTTCTGGGCATATTTCCAAAGACAGAATCTTACCCGAGTTTCTCCTCTGGCTGCAAGACTGGAGTCCACAGAGCTTCCCACGTCCGAGTTCAGTGAACCACGAAGGATGCCAGCTGGAGAAGCCACGGGGCCACGCAGCGGAGCGAGGTTCCCCAACGGAGCCTGCACAGGTGCTAGCGGGGATCTTGAAGACTAGAGGGTGCGAGAGGAGAGCGTGGGCTCGCAGTTGGCACTCGTTTCAGAACAAGGGCACTCCCCTGTGCAAACACTGTCTGCTAACACCCAACCTATGCCCCAAGGAACTGCCCTCGAGCTAACACCAAACAACAGGCAGCACATGCCATGCGTGGGGAATAGCAGCTTGATTGACTCGTATGTTTTGTCCTCCACAGACCCATCTGAACGCTGCGATTCACCTTACAGCAGCACGGCCATCCGGAAAAGAAGCAGACATTACTCCAAAATGGAAGCAAGAGAACAACAACAGCCACACTAACTCCCACACCTGCATGCAACCAAACACAGCACCCTCTGGGAGAGGCTGATACCTCACACCATCCTAGGCAACCTCGGCAGCTTCCCTTCCTGCTTTGCCTTGCTACTCTGCACTGTGAAGGAGAAGCCCCAGGCAGCAGAAAGTTCCCTACACCCCACACGCTGCAATTACCATCTCCAGACAGAAACCTGGGCTGCTTCCTTACCTCACACCAGTGGAAGTGCACTTTTTCCACCACTGCTGAAAGTAGAAAGCAGTTCTGTGGCAGCACATCAGTAAGAACCTCCTGAATACATCTTTACCTTTCAAAGCACAGCAAGAGCCCCGGGAGCCACCCAGCATCCTCACCTCTGAACAATGCAAGCTTGACATTTCGAGCTATCTTCACCGAGAAGCGGGACTGTTCTGTTTTACTTTGTGGAATTCCCCACCCAAGAAGTCTCGCCTTTGATACACTGCGCAGGTTAAACTAGAAGGAAGGCTACGCTAGGATTTTATCTGTAGCTTGCCAGTACAGCCAAGTGCTGTTCCTTCAGCAGAGCACATGCTTATTCATAAATCACAGTTCCTGTACTCTGTGTTAATATGAAATTACAGACAGAAAACAGAGTTAATTCACTTGCACGCTGAGGGATGGGGAGAGAGATGAATGTATACCGATCTCTCTTCCACCAAGTCACTGCCACATCAATGGTAACAGAACAAATTACATATTCTGGGCGTAACTCATTATTTCCTACCAGATGGCCATTAACTATGTGTGTAGAGCAGTAGAAGTTAGCTGTCCTTCAGCAAAGATAAACTCACTTCCACTGGGCTAATTAAAACTTGGAGGATAATCTGCAGTTTATCTGTATTTATAGGCAGAGTTACTATCAGCTAACTGAGCACTAGCACGTACTGTTAATTAGAAACCTAAGCTAGCAATTTGGTGGAGGCACAGATGGGTACCTGCAATAGGAGAGCAAAGCAGTTCATTACCACTACACAGTGACCTTCTAGGGTTGGGGTTTTTTGTTGTTGTTTTGAGGTTTTAGTTTTTGTTTGTTTCAGGGGGTTTGGTGGTGGTGGTTGTTGGTTTGGGCGGGGAGTTGTTTTCAGAACAAGAGATTTGGTAAGTTTTATTAACTTGAGGAAATTACTTCTTGACAAAGACAAAACAACCTGGAGCGTTCTTCCAGTGACGAGGAGGCTTGGTGCAGAACATCTTCCATGGCATTAGTGTACAGCACCAGTAAGTGCTGAGAGAGCTCCTGAGAGCATGTGCTGAGAGAGCACACAGTAGGCACAGCTCTCTTGACACTGGCAGCACCACTCCTAACAGCTTTTTGGAGGTCCTTGGTATTCACAGAAGGAGAAAGTTATGTTTATAGATGGTCCATCACACCTTTAGCCATCTTGGGGTCGTAAGACCACGGCACCAGTGGTCCAAGGACTACATTGTGCTCAGTTCCACTGCACCTGCCTGCAAATCAATCGCTTGTAACCACTGGGAATAATCCTTCTCTTTAAGGAAAGCTAATTCATTTAAACTTTTTCCTGTTTTTCTCATTTAAGAGGGAACAAAGACCATTTGTCAAGTTACTGGATGTGTACGTGGGAGACCTGGCTTTGATTTACAGCTTCTGTATTGCTTTAACCAACTCACTCGCTCTGGGCCTCGAGATTCAGTGAGCAAAATTAGGCTAAAAATAACTTATTTCACTCTCAATTTAGATCGTGGGATTTACAAGGAAAAGATTGAGTTTATGTTGTGCTTCCTACAAAGGGTGTTAGTGCCATGATTAAAGATGATTTTGTGTTCAATATTGCAATCCCATTTGATTTCTGCCCATCACCTCCTTTTTAGTGCAGAAGGCACCTGTCCTAATACACAATTAATTCATGATGTAAATTTTACAGTGTTTGCCATGCAAGGAGGACTGTGAACAAAGGATTTTTCATCCTAGCCCTTGAGCTTTAGGAAAATCACTCTAACAAATGTCACATTCCTTATATAACTTCCAGCAGTCTGCTTTCGCCCTTTGCTCCTGAAAGTTAGCTACAAATCAAGATTTCCCTCTCAGCTCTCCAGAAATGTTTACAACAGAAGTGCCAGCACAAAGGATTTAGTCCTACCTCGTTCCTCCCTGCTCCTTCACCAACCTCTATTTTGCTGCAATTCTCAGCAGTTTGGCTGGTTTGGGTCGTCTCCACTTCCACGTGCTGGCAGAGACTGGTGCTTCCCTGGCAGTCAGCCCTCTGACGGAGATTCCCAGGGGGAACCTGCAGTTCTTCTGGGACCTTATCTCCCTGTGCTCCGGGAGCTTGACCTGTCCTGCCATGTTCTTCCTTCACTTCTGTTTGCACTCCAGCACTGTTAGCCTCCTGGGCTGTGCATTTCCCACATGAATCCACCAAAAAACTAACACGTTCAGGTTCTGGGCTGGCACCTTCTTCACATTCCTGCAATGTGTGGCACAGTTTCACGTCCTTGGAGCTACCCTCTCTCTCTGACTTCTCGGCAGCACTCAATATCTGAGACGGGGACGATCCCAGGACGGGAGGAGGTGGCACAGGCTCTTCTGTGATAGGGTACACGTCCTTTGGTCTCTCAGACTCATTGTGTAGGGAGGAGAATTGATGGCTCACTCCCAGTATCTGCGGTGCATTATCATTCTGAGAACTGTCCAAATCACTGCTATCACACTCTGACATCACACCACCTCTTTCGTCATCGTTACAGCCATCACTGGCAGATGAAAAAACATCTTTTGATGTAGGATTTACTGCAGAATGCAGATCCACATCAGTTCCTCCCTTTGAACCTGTTCCTTGGAAGCAGTGTTGTGTTCTCACGGTCTCTTCAGGGGCCGTGGGTAGGCTCTCTAGCACCACATTCACGCTGTCTCCTTTTGTATCTACTTCTAGTTTCGTCAGCTCCACTTGCTTTGAGCCCTCTCTCTCAGGTCTGCTGCTGCTCTCATTGCTCTTGCAGAGGTTGCTAGCTTGAGCCAAAGCCTCCCCACCTTGAACTCTTCTCTTACTTCTGCTCTGAGATACTTTGCTGTGGGAGCTTAGCTCTTCTTGAGCGTGTGGAGCATCAACTGTCTCCTGCAAACCCCAGTCATTTGTGGCACTGGCATCAAAGGGAGTCATTTCAGGGTTCCTGAAGTAAAATCTTTCTTCTCTGGCTTGCAATAAGCTCGGACTTCTTCTCACATCCCCACCAGTTCCTGTATCCTCTCCAGCTGAGAAAGGATGATCAGATTTACGGACACAGTCATCCATCATGTCTTTAATCTTCTGCTTTCCTTTCAGCTTTTCATCAAAGAGCGGGATTTTGTCTTCAGGGGATTCTGGTGGAGTTTTAACATTCTCAAAGTCTTGCGAATAGGATTTCTTTAACACATGCAAAGGTTGCACTGTTGGCCTCACCTCTACATCGTCAGACTGTGAGTCAGAAGAACTGGAACAAAGATTTTCTTGTACTGCCAAAGGTATACCTTGCTCCTGGTGGATGTCTACATCAAAGCTGCCAAAAGGTGGGCCGTTTTCTAAAACTGTCACCGCATCAGTTAAGGTGTGGTACGGCCTGCTGAACTCTGATACCAGGATAGGGTGCGGGTTGTTTGGCCACATGTCTGCAAACTGCCTCCACAAATCCGTTACACATGATGCTCTCCATTTGCCTTTGTCAAAGAGGCCTTCATTTCTAATCTGGCTATCTGGTTCTGGCTCGGGGCTCTCCTGTCCAGGGGACAGAATGGCACAGGGTATCTGACAAAAGGGTGTCGAAGGAAGAATCCCTGGCTGCATTTCCTAAGTAGATAAATATTAGCAAATAACAACTAAAACTTTACATGTAAGTGTATATATATGACCCTTACTTAAAGTACAGCTATATTAGCAGTGGTTTATATATAAATCGGAGTGCAAATTTTGGAGCACTTAGGAGTAATCTGTCTGCATATAATAGAAAATACTCAAATCGAAGGCCTGAGGTTTTCTGGGTTGAAGATGTCTATGCTTTAGTAATAACACTCTCTTCCCCCACTGATATTTACCTTGTGACTGGCTAACAGAAGGCAGGAAGGAATTGCCATCACTTGGGACCTGAAGTGCATTTGGCTATGTCTGCAGCTGCCAAAAGCAGAGCAGGAGAGCCTCTCACATCTAAATGTGTGTTCAGTGCCCGGATAGCACAGCAGTGTGTGCATGGACACTGCATGGGCACCTTTTATTGTCTTCTTCAAAGAAAGAAATCTTTCCAGCACTCCAAGTGTTTTCCAGCTCCCCTCCCTCCACTCACACACACAATTGCAGGATAATAATTGTTCCCTGTCCAAAAGACAGAACGTCATGAACAAGAGCCAAGCTCAGGTTCAAAGTCTAACACGAAAAATGTTTTTAATGCTTTTAAGCTGGAAAGTCTCTACCTTAGCATTACTAGGATATTCAGTTATTTGTCTAAATTTCCTTAGGAACAGTCAATATCTGCTACAAATGGTGCCAGCCGCCTTGGCTCACTTGCCTCTCAGCAATAACATTATGGGGCTGTGGCACAGCCACTAGGATGTGCCCGCCTAAACCAAAACTTCCCAAGTTTTCTGTGTGTGTGTGACCCAGCAAGCAAGCAATCGCTGTTCCCGTTCCAAAGCAGCAGCAGCACAGCATCACCCCCTAATTCACAGCCACTCATCCTCAGCCAGCCTTTCTGCTGCTCCCCAGAGCCACTGCAGGCAGCAGGGCCTACTTACAGCGGGTCGCTTCAGTGCCTGCTTTTCCTTCTTGTCTTTCTTTTCTTTCTTGTCTTTCTTCTTCTTCTCTTTCTTTTTCAAACCGCCGCGTTCCAGCAGCTTCTTTCGCTCCTGAGTGACAAGTTCTCTGTAGTGGTCATCGCAGGGGTGGTCCCACGTGGACTGGCCGTTAGCAAAGTTGAAGTAGTAGATATCACCAGTGATATGCTGGCTGCACAGTAAACACAGCGTGAGAACGTGAAGGACCAGCACATCAGCTCTGTGCGCACAAGCAGCAGCTCTGTGCTCTGCACAAGGACATGGCTTCATTCAAGGGTTTCTGAAGGCTCTAAAAATATTCCTACTGGGTAACGTGACCACCCTGCATTCAGCGAACAGGAGCACAACGTCTCCAAGAGCCCAGAGGCATTGGTGTGGGAAGCAGCTCTCCTGGAGACTGCTCACGTCCTTATCCAACTTCTCACACCCTCTTTCTTCTTCTTCCACCGCCCCAGGAAGAACTGAGCTCCCCCATCCCCAGGAAGTGCCTGTGTTATCCTCACTTCCCACCTGGCGCCCTGCTCTGACACCCCAACAGGCAGCTCAGCAGGGAGGCCAGGAGAGGCCAGCAACCTTACAAAGCAGCTCCTGACAGAGAGCTCTCACCAGGGCTTCCACTCGGGCGGTAACGGGGCCACAATGCCTTCCTTGGCCAGCCACATCAGCTCCGGCTCCTTCTCAGGGTCGATCCCGATGTCCCTTGCAAAATCCTGGATTTCTAGGAAACAGAACGGGAATCTGTGGAGCTGGACTGCACCAGGCAGTACACAACCAAGCCAACTTCCTCAGCTAAAGCAACGGACACAATGGGAAATCCCAATCCTGAAAGGACACTGCTCAAAGCTGTCAAAATGGTTCTGTGTGTCAGTGTCCTACCAGGCTGGTGAAGCAGGGAGATGGAGGCTGAGAGCTGTCAAATATCCTTGCCAATCAAAAAGCTCATTTCTCAACTCTACATGAAATTCCATTTCTTTCTGCCCTCTTGGCTCATGCTCTCCCCAGCTCCCATTTCCTTAATAGGCCTAGAAATGGTTTGGCAAGCTTGAGTCCCCTCCTGCAGCTCCCAGGAGGCCGAGCATCTGCTACCTTGCTCGCTGGGGATGTACGTCTCGTCGTAATCTTCTTCCAGGATGAGCTGGTCTCCGATGCGTACCATAGCTCCTGCCATGGCTCCTGCACCTGGCGGCAGGAAGGAAACAACCCCAAAATCACAACGGACATCTGCAGTCAGGCAGAAACAACACTTCCTTGTCACACAGTGGCAAAGCCCCAGAAGAAACTCAGCACTGGGGCCGTGAAGGGGAACGGGGTGAGCTGGGGGTGCAAAGCACGGATGCAGATGGGGGGCACACGGGGCAGGCAGCTGGAACTGGCGGGGTTTGGGGAAGGCAGAGGGGCACGGCTGAAGCACCGGGGAGCAAACCACAGCCTAGAAGCCAATTCACAGCACCAGGCAGGGCACGGTGTTACGCTGCTTGTCAGCGTGTTCCCACGCCTCGCCTACAAAAGGCAAAGGCCGCTCGCACTTACTTTTGGCTTTTTACCTCTTCATTCAGCAGTGGGGACGCAGCTGCCTGCTGGCTGTGCGCTGCTCGGACACGCGGAGCAGGGCAGGGCCAGGACCTGTCCCTTCAAACTCCTGCCCCCGTTCTGACGGGGGGGAAGGGGCTCCGGGCAGCACCAACCCCGGGGGACCCGCGGCTTCTGAGGAGGGCGGGCGGAGGACAGCGGGCAGCGGGGCTGAGCCCCCCCGTCCCCTGCTCCCCGTTACCGGCCCCTCAGGGCCCCGCGGCCCCCTCAGGCCGCCCGCAGCCCCGGGGCCGGATGCGGCCGGGGTTAGCTGGGCCGGTTAGCGGGGTACCGGCACCCGGTTCCCGGGACTGGGTTCCCGAGGTTCCCGGTGCCGGTTCCCGGTGCCCGGGGCCGCGGTTGCCGTGGTTACCGGGGCCGGTCCCAGGCCCCGCCGCCGCCCGGGCCCTCACATGCAACCGCATCCGGGTCGCGTTGCCCCTGGCAACCGCACGTCCCGCCCCCTCCCGAGCGCCATTGGTCCCCGCGGGGCACCGCCCGGCGTCCCATTGGCCGAGAGGAGCGCGGGCGGGGCGGGAGCCGCGCGCGGGGCCTGCCGGGAGCTGTAGTCCGTGCCGAAGCGGGGTGCCGCCGCGCGTTGCCATGGCGACGCGGCGCCGGGCCCGGGGCCCCGCGGCCCGGCCTAGGCCCGGAGCAGGCCCGGCGCAGGCCGCGCTCCCCGGGGCCGTGCCGGGCGGCTCCGCTCCGCGCCCGGAACTCCTCCGCCGGCTGCCGGCGGGCGGGGCGACGGCGTCCGGAGCTGGGCGGGCGGGCGCAGGGGCGGGGAGCGTCGCTCCGCCATGCCCGGCGCCCCGCTCGGCCCCGCGCCGCCTGCCCGCCCCGGCGCGGCCGCCCGGCCGAGGCGCGGGGCGCTGCGGGCCCGCTGAGGCGGTTGTGAGGCGGGGGGGGCGCCGCCATGGCTCCCGCCTGGCCCTGCCTGCTGCTGTGCCTCGGCGCCGCCGCCCTGCCCGCCGGCCCGGCCCCGCCGCGCATCCGCCTGCCGCTCAGGGGGGGCTCGGCCCCGCCGCCCGGCCCCCGGGCTCGCCGGGCCCCCGACGACGAGGCGGCGGCGGCGGCCGAGCGGAGGGGGAGCTTCGTGGAGATGATCGATAACCTGCGGGGCAAATCCGGCCAGGGCTACTACGTGGAGATGACGGTGGGCAGCCCCCCGCAGAAGGTAAGGGCCCAGCCCCCCCCCCCTGCGCACGAAGCCCCCAGCAGGGCTCGGATCCCCCCCGGGATGGGGTCCCGCAGCGCTCAGCCCCGGCTCCGTCAGCCCCGGGCTCGTTTCTCAGCGTCCTTCGTGTGCTGGGGGCCGCCCTGCCCGGCCCGGCCCTGCCCGCACCGTGTGCGGGGTGTGCAGGGGTCCGGAGGGGCGCTGAGCACCGTGTGCCGGCCTCACAGCCAGAGGAACCAGCTCCTCCGCTCCGTTTTGGGTAAAATCCTGGGGTTTTGCAGCTGGACACCCACACCCGCCTCTGTCAGCAGCGAGGTCAACCCCCAGGGTGCCGGTGAAACGCCTGCAGGGGGGCAAATTTCCTCAAGTGCACGGCCAGCTGCCCTGCTCCTGCCGCCCACGGCGCAGGACGGCTCTGCCAGAGCTCCCCGTGCCCACAGAGGCTCGGGAATAGCGGCTGGAGGGGCTCGTACAGCGCTCACAGGACAGCACCCACAGAGATCAGGTCCCTCGAGGCGGTTTCGTGCCGTCCATGGCTCTTTAGGATGTGTTTTTCTGTTCTGGCAGGGTACGTTTAGGGAGGAAGGAGATTATTCCTGAAATCTAGTTTTAAACGTGATTTCATCATCCAGCCCTACTGGAGCTCTTGCCCGGATCCTGCCATGTGTCGCAGCTGCCAAATAATTTCAGCAAGAACCACCTGTTTCCAGGCACTGGTGGATTTCTGACACAGCCACCCGTTTGGGCAGCATCTCCCCGCCTTGGCCTCCTTCCAGACGTGGATGTGGGGTGTGCGCACGTGCGTGCTGGAGCAAAATCCCTCCAGGCGTTTTAATGGAATTAAGAGATTCAGATGAAAGGGAAGGTTTGTGCATAGGCAGGAAACTGGGGAGCACGCTGTGTGTTTATCCAGGAGGGTGCGTGCGTCCTCTTGAAAGGCCCACGTGCAGCCCACCTCCCTCCTTGCCTTTCCTTTCCACCATCCTGCTGCTACCGAGGCAGCTCCTTCGTCCTGTTGTGCTGTAATGTTGGCTGCAGGGCCTCTCTCAGCAACGCATTGCTCACTGCCCCTGTCCCTCGGCGTGTTGGGTGCTCTCCACGCTTGTGCCCGTGCCACCAGCGCCGGCTGATGCAGCCCTGCGCCAGGAAGAGGGGGGAGCAGAGCAACCCGCGCCAGCTCCAGGACAGATGGCAAAGGCTCGGAGCCACAGCTGCCTGCCTTGTCCCCCCGCGACCCCACAAATGCTGCTGCCGAGGCGCCCGCAGGGGCTGTCACATCCAGGCACAGAAAGCTGCACGTGGCAGAGCCTGGGGAGGGTCCTGGGGGGCCGCAGGTGCCCTCAGCTTCCCCACACCGTTCTTGTTCTTGGCAAGGTGAAGTCTCCAGAGCAAAACTCTCTCCCTGCAGCATCAGCTCAGGTGTGTCTCCAGGGAAACGCCTCCCCGTGTGCCCTGGAGCTGAGCAGGAGCGAGGTGTGGAGCAGGTGGCTACTGGAAGCTCAGACAGAGCCACCCGCGGGGTGACAGGGTGCCTGGGGAAGGCTGGGGTGCTGCTCTGACTGCTCACCTGATACCAGAGGGGTGACGTTGATGCTCGGAGCCCTCCCTGGGGCTGCTGTTCCCCCAGACAAAACGCCTGCCTGGCTCGGAGCGGGTCCGTGGGCAGCACGGGGTGCAGGACGGCTGCTGGAGGTGCTGTGATGTGGCAGGGCTTGCTGTGTGCAGGGTGCTGTTGTCTGTGCTTCACTGAACCAACTCTGCTGGCCGCAGCCCAGCAGCGGTGCTGTGAGCACAAGCACGTTGCCCTCCTCCCTCTCCCCTCCGACCCCACAGCTCAAGGGCCAAGGCCGGGATTGTGCTGGGGACCCAAACCCCTGGGGCCAGGGCCCTTGGGCTCCCCGGTGCAGGAGCCCGGTGCCCTCCAGCAGTGCCCCCGGAGGGCAGGGGGGCCGCAGGCAGGAATCGTGGCCCCGCGGGACGCCTGCCAAGCCTGCCTGGGAGCTGCTAATCCAGGGCAGAAATGAAGCGGGAGCAGAGCTCAGCATATGGAGGGCTGATTAGCGATCTGCAGCGGCTTGTGACGAGCACCCCTTCCCCCAGCTTTGTGAGCAAACCGCTTCTGGCAGGGGGAGCCTGGGGACCCCGTTTTGCTGCTGCCCCCTCCAGCTGGGGGTACCCGGCGCCGGTTGCAGGGTCCAAGGCCAGGGGAGCTCAGGGTGTTTGCGCAGAGCCCGGCGCTGTTTGCTCTCTGTGCAGCACCTGCTGCCACCGGCTCCTGCTCCAGCACCCAGCCCTCTCTTGCACAACTGCTCCGAGCCGTCCTTCAGCACGGCCTCAGCCTGTCCCAGCGCTGCCCCCGCAGCCCCCCGGGGGGCAGGCACAGAGCCCTGCCATTCCTGGTGGCCAGGGGCGAGCAGGGCATGCCCTGGGCAGGAGGGCAGAGCCAGGCTCGCTGCCCAGGTGAGGGGCACAGGGCATGGCAGCCCTGTGGGGTGGGGATGGGGAGGGGAGGGCATCGCTTGGTGCTGGGTGCAGCCTGTGTCCCGCGGCGGTGCTGAGCTCCCCGTCTCTCTTCCTTCTCCAGCTGAACATCCTGGTGGACACCGGGAGCAGTAACTTTGCCGTGGGAGCTGCACCGCACCCCTTCCTCCGGAGATACTACCAGCGGCAGCTGTGAGTATGCTGCGGGGACAGGGACTGGGGGAAAACAGCACAGCCACCGCTCCCTGTGCCCGTGACCCAGCCCCGCTAGTGGCCTCACATCTTGCCGGGCAGCTGCCCAGCCATCCACAGCCATCCGCAGCTTCCCTGCCCTGCTTTCACTCTGGCTCTCTGCCACCATTGTAGGTCCAGCACCTACCGTGACCTGCGGAAGGGCGTCTACGTGCCCTACACGCAGGGCAAGTGGGAAGGGGAGCTGGGCACTGACCTGGTCACCATCCCCCACGGCCCCAACGTCACCGTCAGAGCCAACATCGCCGCCATCACCGAGTCGGACAAATTCTTCATCAACGGCTCCAACTGGGAAGGGATCCTGGGGCTGGCCTACGCCGAGATCGCCCGGGTGAGTGCTGGGCACGCCGGGGCTCTGCTGCCCCTGGGAGGGGCTGCCTGCACCGCCGTGGGCCCAGCTCTGCTCAGCAGCGTGCAGAGATGTGATTCCTGGGGTCCCAGCGAGAGGACAGCTCCTGGGTGTCCTCCCCCAGGCATGCAGAGCCCCTGCAGAAGGGGCAGCACTGACACATCCCCGCCCTGCCTCTGCTTTTCTCCTCCCGCCAGCCTGACGACAGCCTGGAGCCCTTCTTTGACTCCCTGGTGAAGCAGACCCAGGTGCCCAACATCTTCTCCCTCCAGCTCTGCGGGGCGGGCTTCTCGCTCAACGAGACGGAGGCCCTGGCGGCGGTGGGAGGCAGCATGGTGAGTGGTGTGCAGCGAGGAGCCAGCCTGGCAGCTGTCCCCGAGGGCAGGGCTGGCCGGGTGGGACGTGCCCCGGCTGGAGATGGTGACCCGTGGTGGCAGCACCTTTCTGTCCCCACCGCAGATCATCGGCGGCATCGACCGCTCGCTGTACGTGGGCGACATCTGGTACACGCCCATCCGCAAGGAGTGGTACTACGAGGTGATCATCGTCAGGCTGGAGGTCAACGGGCAGGACCTGAACATGGACTGCAAAGAGGTGACGGGCACGGGGGAGCCTCCCTGCTTGTGCTGCTGCTGCTGGAGGCATTTGTCCTTCGGTTATGGCTCGAGTCACCCAGGGCAGTGAATGCCGGGGGTGCCCGTGGTTCGGTGGCTCCTTGCTGAAGGAGGCTGAGGGCAGCAGGCTGCTTGAGACCAGAGCCTGGGCTTCGAGCCACGGAGAGCAGAGCTTGGCCCTGGCCCAGCCTCGGTAGCTGCGCAGGGGTAGGCAGAGCAGTCGGGTGCTGGGAGGGAGGAGAGGAGCTGTGCTGGGGCGTTCGGTCTGGCTCACTCTTCCTCGTGCTGCCCCCAGTACAACTACGACAAGAGTATCGTGGACAGCGGGACCACCAACCTCCGGCTGCCGAAGAAGGTGTTCGAGGCTGCGGTGAAATCCATCAAAACAGCTTCCTCGGTCAGTGTGGTCCCCGAAATCAGCCCCAGCCCTGGTGTGGTGCTGCGGGCGGGGTGGCTGCCCTGTCACCAGCCCCAGCATCTCTGCCCGCTCACCTCCCCTTCCCCTCCCGCAGACGGAGAAATTCCCAGACGGTTTCTGGCTGGGGGAGCAGCTGGTTTGCTGGCAGGTCGGCACCACGCCCTGGCACATCTTCCCCGTCCTGTCCCTCTACCTGATGGGGGAGGCCACCAACCAGTCCTTCCGCATCACCATCCTGCCCCAGGTGAGCGCCGAGCCGGGCTGTGCGGGGTGGGCACGGCCCCCTGCCCTGCCCCTGTGTCCCGGGGCCGGAGCTGAGAGCTTCCCTTGGTGCAGCAATACCTGCGGCCGGTGGAGGATGTGGCCACCTCTCAGGACGACTGCTACAAGTTCGCCATCTCTCAGTCCTCCACCGGCACCGTCATGGGCGCTGTCATCATGGAGGGCTTCTACGTGGTCTTCGACCGCGCCCGCAAGCGCATCGGCTTCGCTGTCAGCGCCTGCCACGGTGAGGGGGGGAAGCAGGGAGAGGGGAACGAGGGAAGAGGGGAGCTAGGGGGAAGGGGTGTGAACGTGCAGCAGTCCCACGGTGAGCAGAGCCCTGCCTTCTCCTGCCCGCAGTGCACGACGAGTTCCGGACGGCCGCAGTGGAGGGGCCCTACCTGCACTCCAACATGGAGGACTGCGGCTACAACATCCCGCAGACGGACGAGTCCACCTTGATGACCATCGCCTACGTCATGGCAGCCATCTGCGCCCTGTTCATGCTGCCCCTCTGCCTCATGGTCTTTCAGTGGCGCTGCTTCCACTGCCTGCGGCGGGACCACGACGACTTTGCCGATGACATATCCTTGCTGAAGTGACACCGGAGCTTGGGGGCAGTCCCGGGGCCCGCAGGTGAGGTAGCGGGGCGAGGAGAGGTAGGTCCTTTTTTGAAGGCTGGAGAACAGAGGCAGGACAGCAGTGTGGGGAGCTCAGTCAGCCGAAGCCCTTCTGGCCCCTGGGGACTGCTGTGCCCTTTGGGTCTAGCAGGCCAGGAGTGACCCAGTGCCAGGAGCAGGCCAGCCTCGAGGCGAGGCCCTTGTGTCCCTGGGTCACCATCACCTAGGGCAGCATTTGGGGAGCAGGTGGAGATCTGATCCCTTTAACATTAGGATCCCCCTCTGTGCTCCAGGGCTCTGACCTGGTTCCTGACACCAGCCACCCCTTGCTGACCTGTAGCTGGCCACGAGCACGTGTTCAGCGTGTGCTTGCAGCCTGTGGGGAAGCAGCATGTGCGAGGGCAGCCACGGGAGTCCCAGGCTGCAGCTGCTTTTATCTGGGACCTGCAGAACCAGGGTGGGAGTTGGGGGGTGACAGCACAGCGACCCTGTCAGCCTGCAGCCCCCGGTGGGGCCGGGTACAGCTCTCTACTCCGGTACAAGGCTGAGCTGGGCTCTCCCTCGCTGTCCTGCCCAGGCCTGCCAAGTGTGATAGAGTCCAGCTGATGCCTGTCCCCTTCCCCAGCCCGTGTCCCTGCCCTCCTCAGCCTGCTCCGCAGGGAAGCTGCTGGCCTGGGCCCTCCGTGTAGTGATGTGTGCGCGTGTGCATGTGCGCTGTGGCTGTGCCTTCCCCACGCAGCTCCCCTCCCCGGGACGCCTGTGAGCTGGACTCAGCGAGTGCATCTCCAGAGCCTCCCTCCCAGCCCCGGGCTTTTGGGAACTCGCCCCCGGTGCCAGCCTGGAGCTGCCCGGGGATGCAGGGAGGCAGGCAGGGCGCTCTCCTAGCGGCTGCTCCCATCCTGCTCTCCTGTACCCCGCTGGCTCTGACATTTCCCGTGGCATTGCCCTGCCCTCCTGCCCTGTCCTCCCCCTGCTGCCGGCCCCAGGCTCTGCTCCCCCTGCCCTGGCTGCCTCCAGGATGGGCAGCCGCCCTCCCACCCTCTGGGGGCCGGGACCTGCCTCACCTCCATTCCAGCACCGACAGCATTTGCCACGTAGAAGCTGGTGGCTGCTGCCCTCCGGGCCTGGGGACGACAGCCTCTGCTGCGGGCCGCGGGGCTCTCCTCTCCTCCCTGCGCTTCGCAGCCCTGGGACTGCACGGGGAACGAAGGAAGGAGCTTTCCCCTCACGCGCTGCACAGCCTGGAACAAGCAGAAACCGAGTGCCGGGAGGGAGCCGAGCGCTGCAGCCTTGCGCCGGCCCCTTCCCCAAGCCCACTCGCCTGTTTGAAAGCCATAGGGGGGCCGGGGCCGGGCTCGGTGGCCCCCACCTGCAGCTGCTGCCTTGCCTCGCCTCACCAGCCGGCCGGACCCGCGGTGGCCCCGTGCTGCTGCGCTCGCGCCCTGGCACCAGCCACGCTCGGACCCGGGCTCCTGCTCTCAAGGCACGAGCCCCCCCGGCAGCTTTGGGCAACGGGAGGTGGCTCTGGGGACTGCAGCGGTTATTGTTTTTTAAAGACGTGGTTGTATTTATTATTTTAGGGGGTTGTTTGGTTTGTTTTTCTTTTTTTTTTTTACACTGCAAGTCACTGGTAGTACAGCTGCGCGGAACCACGGCGTGTATATAGCAGGTCCCTGCTGCACACAGGGGTACCAGTAGCGGTCGCTTCTCACCTGTACAATATTTACATATAGCTATATTTTTAATTCTAGCGCCGAAAGCCACTGTTCCAAACCCACCGGTAGGGGATTTGGTCCTGTTTTGTTGTTTTTAAATACCTGTAGCCCTCTGCACAACCTAGGGCCTTGGCCACCACCCAAGCCCGGGGCTTGCTGGGCAGCAGCACGCTTGGATGGAAGCACTTCACAGCTCGTAGGCGACCTGGAGTTGGGTTCAGAGGGAGTTCTGTGTGTAAGTGATCTGGTGGTAAGGACGGAGGGGTGCAGGAGGGCACAGCTGGATTGGTGTGGTGGTTCTCGAGCTGAGAGGACACTTGGCAGGGGAAGCAGTTCTGCTTCCTCTGCCTTGTTCATATGGCAAAGGGAGGTCTTTACGGAGTGAAAGAACAACCCTCCCTTTCTTCCTCTGTCACAGCCCCCCTGCAGCCCCCTCCTCCCTTCCCCAGAGCAGCTGATAGCGCTCACTTTCCTCACTTCTCAGCCTCAGCCATGAAGGTGCTTTGTTTTTAGCAGCGAGATTTGCTCACTGAACAGGCAACGCTCAGCCACAAGCGAAAGTCAGAGCTACCTGTGGTGCTGGGGCCTGGGCAGAGCTGAGCCCCGAGTTCAGCCGGGGACAAGGGCTGGAGCATTACAAGCCTACAGTAATCACCAGGGATCAAGCTTGTTAACGAAATCCTTTGCTTAAATTTCTTCAAAAAAGCAGGGAGGGAGCCCGTGAGCAAGGCAGGAGAAAACACAAGGTAGGAGACCACAGAAGAGGCAACCCAGCCCCAACCCTGGGAACTGCCCCCACAGCCCATTACACGCTCCCCTAAACCATCCCCCTTTGCTGGGTCTGGGAACAGCCCCCAGTTCCCATGCTGTGCTCCCACACTCCGCTCATGCAGCAATTCAGCTCCAGCGTGAGGGCAAAGTTATGCAATTGCAGAGTGCACACACACCTCCACACCCCTGTGCCTGCCCAGGACCCTCCCCAGGAGCCCAGAGACTCTGTTGTGGCCCACTGCCTTAAAACATGCTGACAAGCGTGTGTGTGCACGCCTAGAGAGATTCAGGCTGTGGCCAAATTCAGGCACGCCGTAGGTACCCTGGCAGTGCTTGCACTGACCAGCCTCGAGGCAAAGCTGCTTCTAGCAGAGCTGAATTTGTGCTACAGACTGCAAAAAAAAAAGGAAAAGAAAACACTACAGAGTAAGTGCAAGATTTTAAGTGGTGCTGAGCACCTTGTGATCCCACCGAAATCCATGGAGAAAGGGTTGGTGCCCCAGCCCGTGTTTTAGGAGAAAGGCCAGGAAAGGGAAAAGTAGAATCTGCAACTGGTTGGTTATCCTGAGCTGCAGCACAGCCAAATTTGTTCACGCCCCAGTGCTCCTTCCCCAGGACCCGGAGTTACACCAGGAAGCACCAGGTGAAAGCGTGTGCAGGACTCTGCCCAGCGGGAGGAGGGATGGGGATGGCTACCGCAGGCTGCCGCTGTAGACTCCAGTACTCTGTAACCTATCGTCTGTGTAAGAACAATGAATGTTAACACGGTAAATTATTACATTAAAAAAAAGACAAAAATACTTTGCACCTAGAACCTGTTTGTTGCTCAGAGGGGAACCGTTCCGAGCACAAGCAGCCCCAGCTGGACGTGGCGTGGGAGATGTCCTGCCAAGGGAACAGTTGTGGGAAGCGTGGAGATGGGGGGAGCACTGTCCCCGGGGAGGAATACACACAGCTAGGGGGGGAGAGGGAGTTACAGCAGCCCCTGAAGCCCCAGCAAGGAGGTTTGGCTTTAACACACGTTAGAAAGGAAGCCAGTCAGGCTACAAACAAAGAAATGAGGAGCAGCACCAGCTCACTGCATAATATACACACTTTATTTATGAATTTGTATGTATACAGACTTTCTATACACACATTACCTATATAATAAAAATGTACATGTGTATACATGGTCGTATAAATATAGAACTGTAGAAATCTTAGAACTGATCCTGTCTATTCACAGCAACTCCTCCCGTGGGACCACTTTGTTCGAGTAGCCGTCATTTGAGACTTGGACAAAAGGGGCAAGTGTCATTTGTGTTGGTTTGCGCCCAGAATTTGATGCACTGCAAGAGAGAGAACTAGTCAGGAGCCACTGGCACAACTCAGAGGCGCTGTGAGCAGAGCGTGGCATTGCTTTTCCAGAAGGGTGCTGGCAAGGGGCGCTCATTTTAAGGGAGGGTTTGCTTTGCTCCTTAGAAACAGCCCCCATGGAAAGGTCACTGTGACAAGGAAGCCCTTTCCAACCCAGCAGCCCACCACGATCTGCTGGAAACCATCACAAGGAACAGCACGACGTGCACGCAGCAGGGAAGCACACTCACCTCCTTGTGCAGCACATGCGAGCAGGCCATGGGGTGCAGGTCACCGGGCTGCACGAGCTTCTGGCACATGAGACACAGCTTACAGGCAGCGGGGCTCTGGGGGGACAGTGAGGGAACACGGAGCAGTCACAGCAGTCCCACATCACACCTCAGGTCCCACAGGACGCGTTCCAGCTACTTGGCTTGTGCCAGGGGCCACAGTTTGCCCAATCCCTCCTCCCCCATGCAGGGCACGCAGAACCCCAGCTGTGAACCCGTCCCTTCCACCCCACCAGCAAGAGCAGCTACATGAGGAGAGAGAGGTCCCAACCCCACTGGCTCGTCCCTTTGGGCACTTCTCAGAGGGGCTCCCTCCCCAGGCAGCCTTCCCTGGGGATGGTGAGGTGCTCTAGGAAGGCAAAACAACAACAACAATCTTACATGCGATGCTGTCCCAGGGTAAGCCACCTGGGCTGGGGGCAGGAACATGGGCGTGCTGATTTGAGGCAGCGGAGCAGAAAACATGGGGGCCCTGATTCGACTGAGAGGCTGTGGGGAGGCAAACAAGGCGTTACCCAACAGTGCAGAAGGAAAGGACGGCTGAGGCTGAGCCACCCCACGTTAACGCAGGGCAAAACTCCCCCTAGAGCCAACGCCACAGTCAGCAGAGAGGGGAACCCACAGACAACCTGCAGCACGCAGCCCGAGCCTGAGCTCCGCGTGCTTCCAGCAGTGAGCCCCGTGCAGCTCAGCCTGCAGGGAGCCAAGGCACAAGAAGGGAACAGCAAACTTCTGGCTGCCACCCGGGCTCCCCTTCCCTGCAGCCCCCCAGCACCCCCCCAGCTCTCCCACCTGAGCGCCGGCCGCTGCCCGCTCCTGCTGCTCCGCCAGCTTGGCGGCCACCAGCTGGTTGAGCTCCTCCATGGTCAGCCCCGCCATGGTCCTCCGAGCCGTCTTGATCTGCTGCAGGATGTTGGTGAGCTGGGCCCTGCAGAACGGCAGCCTGCTGAGAGCTGCCCCCCACCAACGGGCCAAGGACACCGCGAGCCAGCCCCTGCCAGGGGAAGGCTCTGGCACGGCACCACGCTGCCCCCCGCCCCAGCTGACATCTCCCACACACGCCTCCATCCTCCAGGAGGGCAGCATGGGGCACGTACTTGTTGCACTGCGGAAACCGAGCCAGCAACTTCTCCAAAAGCTTCTCCAGCTTGTCCGCCGGCTGCGGCCTGGGGAACTCGGGAGTGACCTTCACTCCTCCCAGGCCCGGCGGAGGAGGGATGGAGGCAGCAGGAGTCATGTGGGGGCTGTGGGTGCCGATGAGCGACGCCACGACGGGGCTGTTCCTTCCTTGGGAAGCAGGCAGCGGAGGGGAAGGCTGGTTGGGCCTGGAGATGGCGGGGTTCAGGAGAGGGAAGGAGAGCGCCCGAGGATCGGCGCTCGGCATGACCATGGGGACGGGGACTGGTCCTATGGGGAACGGGAGCCTGGGGGTGAGGGATGGGCTGGGCTGGAATGCCGTCAGCATGAAATCTGTCTGAGAAAGAAAAACGGGGATGGGGGAAGAGAAGGCTGGTTAGAATAAGCCCGTCTCAGAGCGGAGCTCCCAGGCACCAGCCACTGCACCCCTCGTGACAAGGGGGGGCTGTGCAGAGCCTTCCCCTTCTCTCCAGGTAAGCCCAGACAGAGCCACCTCAAGGGACAAGCACAGGGCTCCCATAAATGTAATCCCGCAGTCACCCCAGCGGCACACAGCACAGGCAGTGCCAGTCACAGGCCAGCGAACAGGCTGTCCCCAGAGCCTGGCAGAAAGGCCGGAGCGATCAAAGCTGGCGTTTGTCAGGCTGGAGAGGCACTCACTTCTGAGGGTGGAGGTGGCAGCGTTGGGGTTGGGATCTGTGGGAGGCTGCTCAGCTTTGTTCCATTTCTCACCATCTGAATGTGGTCATTGAACTGGTCCTAGCAGAGAGAAAAGAAAACAGACACATTTATCAAAGCCTCTGCCTCGGGAAGTTCTGGGCACTGAATGCCTACAGCAGGCAAATTCCCCTGTCACAGCTGCCTGAGCAAAGCGTTCTCAGCCCCGCAACGGTCACAGGCCCTCAGCAGGTCATTTGGATCACGGAACAAAGAGAATGAAAAAGGACCTGGAAGGAAGAAAACGAGTAACCACGTGGCCTGTCCACAGGCACAAGCCCCAGGAGGCAGGCAGATCTCTGCAGCTGCTCACAAACACGCTGACTGTGCCACGCGTTTGGGCACACAGCTCTGTGCTGGGTCCTCATCTCCTCTCAGAGAGAGCTGAAATTAAACACAGTGAAGCAGCACTGATGTGAACCACGCGCTCGTAGGCCAGGAGCTGCCTGATAGCAACTTACTCTGACACTTTCCTTTGTCATTCGTATCCTGTTCAGCCTCATCTCCCACTCCTGCTTTGGCCTCATGGTCTCCAGCGTTGGTGGTGCAGACCTGCAAGAACAATTTAACCTTCCCTCTTGCAAATGTGCTCTCACTTGCAGCAAAGTGAAAGCAACAAACTCCTCCAGCCCTCCTGCCTCCCCCAGCAGGGCTTCCCCTCCTCTGGGCAGGAAGGAGAGCTCAAACCCAGGCGAGGAACCCCACAAGAGGAGAGCACACAGTGCTACCCGAGGGCAGAGACCAACCTGGGGGACAGATGAACAGTGACAGGGAGTAAATAAGCATGGCCCCACCAACCCCTGTTTCGTGACACTACTGAATCACATTAGGTTGATAAAGAAAGCCACAGGAAACCCTGAACTATTTCAGTCAAACCCCCAGTATAAGCAGAAGAGGAGATAAGGTAATTTCAATGTTCCGATCGCTTCTGAGACAGGAACTTACTTGAGGTAGGTGAGGTGTAGCTCTGCTTCTTTTTCTGCTTCTTCTAGTTTCAGCACCAGCAGCTCCTTTCGGCTCTCCAGGGACAGGATCTAGCAACAGTCCCAACTAACAGTTTACTGCACTGACATTTGCTTACCCCTTCTCCAGCCCCGTGAAGAGCCTCATCCTTAACTGCTCCTAATTTCACATAACCAGTCATCAATCAGTCTGTCATCTAGAATCTCAGGAAGACCCTCTTCAACTGCTTTGCAGGTAAGAAGTCATCCACTAACCTCTGCTTTCCAGGCCCGCTCTGTCTCCTCAAGAATGTTCCTGTTGATTTCATTGTGCTGGTTCTTCAGCTTATCTAGCTCCATCTCCCACAGCTGCCTGTAAATAGAGACAGAACAAATCTGCTTCAGCACTGGAATGACTTAAACAGGAGAGCTGACAAACTCCCACAGAGCCAATTGATCCTCGTAGCTCTTGATGGGGTGGAACTGTGGGATACTGACAGCTTCCAGACCATGACACCAGTCACATTTCCCAAGGCTGCATGAGTCACAGTCCCAAGAGTGAGCTGTTCCAGAGCATGCAGACAACCACTGTGCAAACTAAGTCATTCTGCTCCTGTAGAAGTTCAAAGGTGGCCCTTTCCACCTGTGCCTGGATCTGGAACATCTCCGTGCACTGCTAAAACACCTGAAGTGTTCCAGAGTTTAGAGCAGCTGCAGGGAACAGCACGGAGGAATAGGTTCCCCCGATTTCTGGGAAGCTGAAATTCAGTCAGAGGTAGCAGGTACACGCTGAGTCAATCCACTACGCATGAATTCTAATCTTATGGGATCTTTATGTAACAAGTATCCAGGAGCCCTCCTGTGACCAGGAGCAAAGAGAATTTGATCCAGAGACTGCGAGCACCAGCCTGCTGAAAGGGGAGATAAAACCTCCAGGGCACCCAAGTGGACAGCACTGTCAGGCCCCCCTCTGCAGCCTGTGCCACCAGGAGCACAGGATCCACTCCAAGCCAAAACAACGAAGTAGAAGTGTTCGACACTGTTAATCTGCAAACAGCTAAGCGCCTTACTTTTCATCAGACTGCTCTGCAATCAGAGAAGCAATCTTGTTTTCCTTCTCCTCCTGTTCTTTCAGCAACCTGCACAAGAAAAAAAGGACAGATGGAGCCATCCACCGCAGCGCTGTTATCGCACAGCCCCTAACGCTGCAGCTCTCAAGTTTGAACAACGTATTTGCACAGCTGTGTGCCCAACGCAGCAGCACGCTCTGAAGACTGCTTTCAAACACTATTGAATAGTTCAATCACTAACATCCTCACGAGCAAAAACGTTGCTGTGTTATGACACTGCACAAGGTTTAACCTGAGCCCTGCACAGA